CCCAGGGGGTTTGGACTCCAGTAATCTCATTCACTCTGTGAACAGCAACAAAAGTATTGATTATTTGAAAAAAAATATGGATCACTTAGTATGAGTAATTTCTCTCAGCCATTTGAAAACGATTAGATTGAAAATCTGGTCAAATTGCAGAATAGGAAATGATCTGATGATTATCAAGCGCCGGAACAGATATTAATAAATTAAATTATAGCAAAGAATATTCTCGATCAAGCCAGAATGATCGTTCTAATTAAAAACCGCATCAAATCGGTCGAAGCTACTATGCCACAGACTATCTAGGCCTCAATTCTGCTATTTTATGTTTACGAGAAGCCAGTGTCATACCACTGACACGCTATTGAGATGCCATCGAGTGGCCATTGGCATCGGTATGAATATCGGTAGTTGAAAATATATTAGGTTTTTTGAGGAAATGATTTATTTGTTTTTATTATAATAAATTATTAAAAGAAATATATAAATTAAAATAACTTTGTTTTAATTTTAATTTATTTATTTCTTTTTACTTTTTTACTACCGATATTTATACCGATGCCAATGGCTACTCGATGGCATCTCAATAGCGTGTCAGTGGTATGACACTGGCTTGACGTACCTAATAGCAGAATTGAGGGCCTGGTCTATTGGTGTTTTATAATTATTACTTATAACACTTTCTTTTGAGTCCGGGGTTTAACAATATTAGGTATACGGGCTATTATATATAGCCGTTTTTCCATACATTTTAAGTTTATACCACATATTGTTTATAGTATTTAGTTTTCTGAATTATTTCCATTCCAAAGATGTTTTGGTGCGTCTTATTGGTATAAAAAGTGTAAATACATGCTTAGAATATAATTATGAAAGTGAGATTTATTTAATTGCTACTTAAATCCCCACGGATGCTAGACGATACCACCCGCCGATGGGGTGGTCATGTTGGACTCGAACCGACTGAATACCGCACGCCGTCTTGGGTACCAGTAGTCGGGGAACTAGATGTACCCTAGAAAGAAAATCCTTGGTACCCCGACGTACCTCTGGCCATCTACCCCCTATTCCCTTTGTGCTCCCATAATAAAGCGCGCGCGCCCTCCGCAGCGCATCTCGTCAGCCTTCTTCTGCTAGGGTGACAGATGGCGTCACCTGTCACCCCGCACCTGCACTTATGGGGCACGGAGGTCGTTCAGCGACCTCTGGCGCCTGACTAGTCTGCGGTACCAGGCCCGTTTCGAGTTCTAAACCTCTCCTGGTCCCGCTGCGCCGTCTCCTTCGCAACCTCGACATACTCGCAGAAGGAGACCCCGGCGTTCCACGCGCTCTCTTTCCGTACCATGGCCGCAATCTTGTTACCGAGAGGTTACCTCCGAAGCATTCTTTTCCGGTGATTACCTGCTTTAGCATGAGAGGGTCCCGTGTTCAGTCTCGAGCCAATCCTCCATAATGGGTCTTACCCAATTCCTGAACCACTAAAAGGATTTTAAAATTTCTTTCTGCAATGGCAAGCTACATTATCAGCGAATAACATTGGCTACTTTTTACCGCGATATCTGACATCATCATCATAACCAAAGCTAGTTTATAATATAGGTATAGAACTAAGTATGGATAGAATAACGAAGGCAGTCTCATCAACGCCATCTAGTATAGACAAATTATAACTTTCGAGTACGCCTATGACTATGTTTGTGACGTCATTTATAAAAAATTTTTTATCAATACACTACGATAATAGTACCATTGAAGATCTGGTACTTTCAACTAAAATAACTTTTTGACATCTTGCTTTACCCCCCGCTAAAGTATTTATCATGTAGCTATAAATATCCAAACTTTTCATCTGTTTACTGAACTAGAATTGATATTTATAAAATGTTTTAAACATGTGACCGCAACAGAAAAGTAAGGGAAAGCGTTAAAGCACTTAATTATATAATTTATTGTTATCTATAATCTATGTTATTGCATCAAATGGTGTAATAACTACACATACATAATAGAATAGGTATAATACCTATATATGATGTATACAAAGGAACTTCGTTGAAATAGCGCCCTCTGGCGACTCGGATTAAACTTTTGACACGAACCATAGATAATAAATGTTTTGTGTAGTTAAATAAATATATTGCCATGGTATAAAATTACTTTGGGACATAGGTATTTTAGAAAGTTTGTTTGTACATATAGAAAGATACTAATTATCAGGAACTATATACCATTCAGTTACTTAACCAAAAACCAAAAACGACGCAGCGATTGATCCAGCGCATCCTACGCATCAGAGTCAGAATTTTGTTATAACATGACTAAAGTGAGACATAAAGTAAAAAAAATTGGTTGCCTGTAAAGTCGGTATACGGGCGAAAGTTTTACGTGACAACGACTTTGAGTGGTAAAATAATTTTAATGTGAATATTCATTCGTATAGTAGGAAGAAGGATGAAATAATAGTAACAATTTAAAACATTTTTTATGTCTGTCTCTCTCGCTCTTAGGCGGGCTTACCATGCCCGAGTGGAAGGGACGCGTGCCTCTCACTCGCTCTCATTGTGAGCGCATAACGTGAGCGGAGCGTAACGCAGTTTCTTGAAGTGTCACCCGGCAAACCAATTTATAAGACGTTGTCACGTCAAAAAATCAAGATTAGTATTAATTAAGAGTATTAGGTTTTTTTAAATAAAAATTGTCTCAATGCTGACAGACATACGATTAGAGGGCTTAGACTGTCTCTTCGTTAGAAAATATTATACCAATCAGTTACTATTGCTGCCTTTTATCAGTCAGAAATAAATTTCTGTTTTGAATAAAGTATTAATAAAGTGAAAACTGCAACGAATAATCGTCTGACCTTCTTTGTTCAGTAAACAGGCTCTCGTGGAGTGATATAGCGATCAGTATTAGTTATTCTACTATCTACTCCGCCATCCGCACAATTCCTTGGAGCACTCTCCATTATATGTACGATATGACGAATGCAAAGTGATACTACATCTCTACGTAACGCCAAGGGAATAGCTTACTATTCCCTTGGCGTTACATATAGATGTAGTATCACCCGCCTGGCCAGCGTGGTAAAGTAGGATTAGTGTCAAGTTTTTCCTCTCTTTGCAGTGCTGTTGTCCTACATAGTTTGCAACTGTAGTCGGTTCTTACGACGCTAAGGGTCGCTCTTCGTTAGATGCGGTCCAGAGGAGAAGCTGGTACTGCGATGCCCTGGATAGAGATGAGGGCAGTATGCCATAGTAGAGTTGGAGGCGGTGGACCGGAGTGAAATACTGCCTCAATTTGTTCAGCACACCGAGCTGCTTCGACGCTAATTTAACCTTACCCTTTAAATGACCCCGAGACTGCACTTCGCTCGATATGTCTATGCCTAAAAGTACGATACTGGCTGAGGCAGTTGGGGAGGTACTCTCAAACCGAGGCAATGAATACGACAAACGGCATCTTTCTTGCGGAGAACGCGCAAACCTGTGTATTTTTTTTTTAAGGTTAAAATGGACTAAATTCAGGCAAACCCAATCTGAAAACTCCGCTAAGGAGGTTTCAATTTCAGACACAAGTTTGTTCGACTCCCGATAATCGACCATCCTCAGCCGCTCCGGCTCATCCGATGCCTACGATTTGTTAAGCAAGGGCGTATAAGCTGATCTAGACGGAGCGCCGGAGACGTTTTAGTCTCAAAATATTTACAGAAATCTATCTGAATCAGTCTCCCTATTTTTTTCTGATGTAAGAGGTTTTAGGGGGAGAACCCCCTTTCCCCTTCAAGGGATCCCCCCTTGTGTTTTACTCTTCTTTTTGATTTTAATCTATAAACTGAAGAAAACTTCCCCAAAATTAAAAATTAAAAAAACTCGGCTCCACAACTTTCCCTTTTAAGAAGGACAGCCCCATCTTAAAAGGGTAAGTCGGACTGTTGGTTCTCAAAGTTATGACAGGTGATACAGATTTTATGCCGTCCGTTTAACATTAAACATGATTTTCATACAAACTGCGGTCGACTCGGGTTCGCGTGGTTACTGTCAAAGAAGAAATCGTATGACTATTATTTATCCTATCGGAATTCCTAGCGTAAGCACTATGAACTTAAAATTTATCCGACAAAACTAAAAGTATATACTATGTCACTTACACTCACTAGACAAGTTAAGAGGTTTAATATTTGACAAGTATTCAAAAATTTTCTAAACATGAATACTAAAGCTCGTTAACTTTGATTTTGGAAATACACAAGGAAATAATTTAAATGGTATCTGGTAACACTCTCATTAAAAAAACTTTCCATGTACTTTTGTCTATGGTCTACATAGTGAAGATACTAAATTCGGGTCAGTTCGATTCTAATAACTTTGAATCGATTACAACTGCTATAATTAGTACTAATCGCTTCTATTTGATAGTTAATATTCAGTTAGTGCTATTAAGGTCTGCTTATAAAATTAATTTAGTTGTGAATGTGATTTACACCTTTTAAAAGTGATTTTTGTGTAGATGCCAAACATGGTATTTTCATATTCGATTCTGTCATTTCGATTGAATGAGTGAATCCGATTCACGTGATTACGTCACTCGGGCCAAGCGAAGCGAGCGGAGGGAGATGTATGAGATTTGTACTGTGTTAAAATTAATACGTCATCTCTCATTCTGAAGTGATATCTATAATTTATTTTGTTTTACCGCTTAGAAATTGGTTATAAAACAGTAAGTAAATAATTCTGCCATCGTTCCGTTCGCCGCTGTATGTTATGGACGCGTTGTTTGGTTCCCTGTGCAGTGCCTATACAAATGCATAATATAACCTATCTGCTTTCTGCATAAATCTATGAGGCCGCAGCCTTCTAATTGATGCAGATATAACCTATGTGGAAATAAGGCAATAATGCAATTATAAAAACTAGTTAGAACGTCATCGTTGTGAAGCCATCAAGTTGAGGTGTTTTGCCGCGCTGTGCTGTGTTTATTGACGCGTTGGTTGCAATATTGCAGGCATAATGCCGGCGGCGCGTGGCGTTAAACGTACAGCGTCCAAATCATCTACCGCGACGGCAGCGACCGTTCCCAAAAACAAGAAAAAACGTGGAGGTGAGTACCTATAAAGGCATTTTGCAATTGTTTTCTTTACATTTTTGCCTATGTCAATGACCTGTCAAACGTGATGGCGGGAAATGAGAGGCGCGAACTCTTACTATAAAAGTTATTTTTTGTTTACAACATAACTGTACATTAATTAAGGTTCCTATGGCCGTGTTTAGCTGTTCTAAAGCATGTTTATTCGTAAATATTGTTTGATTATGTAAGCGTCGTTCTTTAATGGAATGTTTTTTGAGGTTAGCCTCGTAGAAACGACGCTCGGAATACCTATTTACAGTTGCAATTTTCTCATAATTTATTATTTGTACAGATGTGTGTCTACAATTTACTCAATAACGGTTCTTAGAATGTTTTTGTTATTGTAATAGGGTATAAAATTAGGTAATGAGTTTATAAGTGGCTATTATTGTACCATCATCACTACTTCATGGCTCTTTATAGGAAACTGAATAGTAGTGTCAACAATTCGTTATGTTCTTAAGTTCCACATTATTTTAGTGATATACTGGTAGGTGTTTGTTAATTCTTTAGCTACTCATGGGACCACAGACACGGGTTTAGTATTGTATTGCTTCCTGTAAATTCAAAAAATACATACATATTTTATGCAGTCACATTAAATTGAAAATTAAGAACACTAAAAGGGAAATAAGAAAATATTAAATAATGATACTCAATTCACACAAATTGAGTTGATAATCATTTTAATGTTGGCAGCACCCGCCATGATTCAGATATTAACTATTAGCTGACATGCACAACCTCTACTACATCTCTTAAAAGTATTTAAAAAAAAAAAGGTTTTGCAGCTTTTTCATTAATGCTCGGCAGCTATTGGTTGTAGTGTGATGCTATTTAGCCTATGGTCTGCCTTATTATAAGGGCTATTCGACACTGAAATAAGTTTTCAACCAAACTAAGCAAGATTGGGTGATATAAAGGCATTACAGTGATTTGAAAGCCTTACAGTACTTATGAAAATGTATTTACCTGGCAACACTAAATCACTTTAAAATGAAAAAAAACTTAGCTTCTACATCTACTATAACATAGGTACATGGTGAAACTTTTATTTGATTGTAGTATAAGTTTTTTGTAAAACATTAAAAAAAATACCTAAAGGTCAATTCTTGTTAAGAAAACACTTCTTATTATGCAATATCACTTAGAACAGTAAATATTGGAATTATCTCCGTGCAACAAGTAATTTGCTTGTATATCTGTAGATATGTAGCCATGACATAATATGTCTTTACCTATGAAATTGCCGTTTTGTATGCAATAAGTGAAAGTACTTATTTTTTCAAACTTTTTTATTATTATTCGAAGTAATCACCCATGCAATCAACGCATCTTTGCCAACGCATTGGCAGTTTATTGATGAAGCTGATTTTTACAAGAAGGGCATCAATAAACTGCCAATGCGTTGGCAAAGATGCGTCGATTGCATGGGTGATTACTTCGAATAACAGAAATGAAAAAGTTTGAAAAAATAAGTACTTTCACTTATTGTATACAAAACCGCAATTTCATAGGTAAAGATCTATTAGTTGATGCTTATTTTGTTATGTAATTATTTTAATACTAATATCACAAAGATTTGAACTTCAATCTTGTTAAATCCTAGATAAAGTTATTAAAAAATGCCTTGTAACTGTAAATAGTAGTGCCTGTGGCAAGGCAATCATTAAAATACACCCATTAATCCCCAAATACACTCAATGTGTATGAAAGTTTGTATGGGGATCAATAACTGCTAAACCATTTTCAATTAAATTTCGTATAGAGATAGTGAGTTGTGGGAAAGAAAACATGCTACTTTTACTGCGATAACTGACATACAGGCGGACGGAGCCTAGGTCAAATGCTAGTAATACATAAATTACATCTAGAAACAGAACAAATGATTATCATCACACAATTATACGTCCCAGGTGCAAACCAAACCCTTGACCTCTGGCCTAGCAGTCAGGATCGTTTACCACTACACCAACAGCCCCGTCAAATAAACCTATACTTATAAATTAAATATTGCATACATTACCTTCAAAGTAAACAAAATTTATCTAAAAACTGACTACAATAACACACCATACTATTGTACAATTCCTGAGTAGATTTTTTTCTGTGCTTATCTTAATTCAATTTATAATTGGTAAATAAACGAACTCTGGCTGAGTCATATCTTGAGAATATATTCCTAAAGGGTATACGCATCTGAGATGGATTATGTCATTTTTAATTTGTCGCAGTCTATATCAACAGTAAGTCCATAATAATATTTTTACGCCCACACCCAACTACCGTATTCTACGTACTTCTGACTCAGAACTGCTTAGAAACTTAATATTTCCTATAAGTATGCAAATATAGAATTTTGTATCAGAGCGACAATTAGGTATGATCCAGTGTAACATGGTTGAAACCAACCAACAGCTTCCTGCGACCTTAATCAGGTTGTGGGATCACCTTGTAGCCTGCCTGCCCATGCTCCGTCTTCTCAAATACAAACTTATTACTTGACACCAAGTTAGAAATATGACCTAGTTCTTAGCGTTCCATGGATACACCTTGAGGGAGCCGAGTTCATCGCGTGATAGATGGGGGCAGCACATGTGACTTCGACAGCGCCTGGGACTTGCGACCCAGGTATAGGTTCAGGGAGTACTCCCTGTGACGCGTCAGCGCTCACCCCCACTATATGCCGAATTACCCCATTACTGAATGAAGCTTTTGGCAATCCAAGGTCTTTAAGTAGGTTATAGAGGGATTTAGCTGGTATACCCCTCGCACCCACTTTCACGGCATACAACGCAACGACATAACCATTTTTAGTTGTTTCGTTGGTTAAGTCAAAGTACTTGTTTCTTTTAAAGCGTGGTCTTTAGGGATGTACGTTTCCCACGCACGATCACGCAGCCTTAAAGCGTAGGCAATAGTTAGTATTTTATAAGAGTCACCTTGGGTAACCAATTTGCACAATATATTTAAGTTGTGAATATTTCCTGTATATGCAACCAGAACGTCAAGTTTACACTAATATAACAATGACATCATAGATGCATTATGTATAGATTGCCATATTAGTATTTAATTGCCGAAACTTTTTGCTAACATACATATAAAATGACCTTAGAAGGCATTCATACTGATCTCCCCCCTTCCTCCTCCCCCAGGGGTGCAGGTGTCCATAGGCGGTGGTAATCACCTACCATCAGGTGACCCTTCTGTTCGTGTAACTCCCCCCCCCCCCATCCCATATCAGAAAAAAAATAAAAAGAAACGAACATTCCAGCGTTAAATGAAAGATAAAAATTGACGAACGAATTCATATTTTTTATTTCAATGCAAACCCTAGTACCCTAATACCGTAGTAAAAAAAACGATATTGCGAGTGATAAATTTCAGTTCCATGTGACGTTTGACGTCACATCCTAGTAGTTATTTTTATACAGTTAACGCGGGAAATTCAAAAAATAGTATTGTTCTGGAACGCACTCCACCAAAGTGACAGAACGACGTCTTACAATTGAGTAGCGCTTATGTGCGTGACTTAAGTGATTCAGAGACAAATTCTCGAAAGGTTTTTTTATCTGCTGAAAATCGTATATATAATAAATAATAACTAGCTGTACCCGCTTCGCTATGGTACAATATGGTTGCAATAATGATTGTATTGTTGATGAACAAGGAACAAAACTAACTCGGAAAAATAAATAAAAAAATAATCCTTGAACCGGTTTGTATATTGGGTCAAAATTTGAGCTCACCGGTGCAAAACTTTTCGAGTTTTTAAAGCGTGCACAAACCAATTTAATTTTTTTTTTTGATTATTGTGTCTGTGGCCATTGACAATAGTGAATTGTAGACCCTGACATTTAAAAAAAATGTATTTTTGTGGTTGAAAAGTAGAGATCACCGGTTCCGTCATACCGCGTGGTTTTTCCCGCAAAATTTCTGTGACACATGGGATCTATATAGGACTATCCGCATTGGCGTGTGATTTGATGCAACTTGAACGCGATACGATGGCGATTTATTTCCGCGCGAATAAAACCCTCGCGGTGAAATATCGCTGTGCGTACGGGCCCTTATTTCATTGTCCTGTTGAACTGTGTTTGTATAAACTTTTTTACTATGTCAGGTCAACATTATATAAAAGAACCTTATAGCTTTATGTTTATACAAATATTTTACCTTCATAAAACATTTTTTTTTGGTAGCTTTCTGCATATAACTTTAATCTTTACGCACTCAAAATTTCATGTCTTATCACATCCACAGAATTCTCCTCGCGTATTAAAATAACGGATGTTGATACATCTACGATAACGTGGTGGTTCTCAGACGAAATAAATAAACCAATTTATGTGCCTAATACGAAAAATACTTAAATTAAAATATACCATCAAAAACTTGATCGATTCATAAGAAGATATTATAAAAGGGATATTTACCATGTTAATTAGTTGCCGATATGTCGGCACTGCTATATAACTGCCCTTTTTCGAGCTTTTTTCCGTTGGGGTCAGCTTAAACTCTGCTACAGTACGGCTGAACTTCGACTTTCGAGCACAGAGGGAACATGGGGGTACCCACACAGGACGGGTCGTCTACCCGCCGTAGATGGCCCGAGATACGTCGGGGCACCAGGGATTTCCTTTCTAGGGGTACAGCTGGTTCCCCGACTACTGGGCGACTACGACTTCCCCGTACATGAGACGGCGTGCGGTTTAAGTCGGTTCGAGTCCGACATGTGGTATCCGAGGGGATTTCCGCACGGAAAAAAAAAAGTGATATCGAAAGTCTGTAGCTCCAACTACCCGTAACGATTACCAAAGATGTTTGTATGTTTTATAATATCTTACCAAGTAAAAAAACCGGTCAGGTACGAATCGAACTCGTGCGCCGAGGATTCCGTACCTACCCAGATTTTACGTAATTTTCGCGAAAATTTGTAAGAACCAAATCCAATCCCACATCTTTTTATCGTGTTGATTCAGGACCTTGATTTTTATACACCTAAACTGTAATCACACTTATAAACATACTTTTATACACCTAAACTATACTGAGGTCTATGGTCCCTAGACTAGTCTGGTATAAATTTCAACTTGCTAGGTCTACCGGTTCTTGAGAAAATCGGTGGTGACACACAAGAAAGTGATCTTATAAGGGTTCCTTTTTTACCTTTTGAGGTACGGAACCCTAAAAATGACCGTGGAATTAAAAAATTCGTGAAAATCAATATATCTAAATATATATTCGCACAAGTAGGTGTCGAAAGAAATTGATGAAACATGTTCCCTCATAGTTAAGTACCGAGCAATAATTAGAAGGTTGCTGATATGTTATCTATGTACAACGCCGGCTCTAGTCATTGATTATGGTGGAGTGATTCTCCACCACCCCTACGTCAACTAACCTTACTAAATCCAATATGTGGTACGCAGACACGATACAACACATTTTTTCAAGATTCTGATTACAGCTCGCGCCTATTCCAAATTCATCAAGCCTTATGAACTTTTATGAACATTTTTAATGAATATTATCGTTTACTTGGATGATATAATTTTAGTTTGTGCCTTCAACTAAGCCTTTTAACTGAGCTCTTCCTCAATACACTGCTGATCTGGTCATTTCACTTTCGAGGCCTGCACGCAGCGGCTCGCTGTGTTCATCTTTTTAAGATGCCCAAACTATCGCACAAAAGTTTAATCTTTCATAGTAAACTCGACCGAAACCGAAGGTCGACTGGAAATCATTAAGTCCATTGCATTAAGTTATAAAAATATGTAAACGGTTTTTTACGTTTTCGATTTTTCCGATTATGTCTTAAACCGAAAGCTCCTCTCGCCTATGCAACTTTAAACTATTGCCGGATTCAGTATTTTCTATTTATGCTCAAGTGTATACCACTGAGTGGTTATAGTAATTTAAATTGCAACACATCAACTAATAGTAATGGTTATAATTTAGTTAGGTCTATATTTGTGGCCACAAACTCTTAAAAAGTATCTATGGTCATGCCAAACTCTGATACTGCCTCTAGAAATTTTATTCCTGAACAATACTCAATTTGAAAACTTAGTTAATTATATACTTCAATATCTATTTTATCCCAAAACACCTGTATTTTATAGAAAAAGCAATATTTACATTACGTATTTTGTATTTAAAAAAAAACCTTGAAAACGCTGAATAGTGTAGTAGAATCATGGCGTCTTGAATGACGTCACAGTCTGCGAAACAAAAATTTTTATATCTGCGTCCAGTGTCAACTGTTTCCTAAAAAGGAAAAAGGAGGAACCTGCTCTGTTGTATAAAAACGTCAACAACAATGATGTTTTGCGTGGCGTGACGTAACACTTTCTGATTGGAGTTTGCTGACACGTGACTTAATGCAGATTTTGTTCGAATTTATTTTTAAAAAATATTAAGAAATTTTAACTTTTAAGAGAAATAGACTGGTTTCTTCTTATCTATGTCTCTTCATTTATAATTTGAAACTATAAACTAATCAATTTGTTATTAGTGGACACAAGCCTATTCGCTATCTCACGACGCGATAATCATATCTTCATGATACATATTGCCACTTTATTTTGAAAAAAACTATTTTTTTGTATGTGCAGCGATCCAGTTGGAGATCCCACAAGCTCCGAAGCGCAGGGGACGTGTGCTAACTTGTGGCCAAGGAGATGTAGGCCAACTGGGCCTTGGACAAGATGTTGAGGAGACTTCAAAGTGAGTATAATCATATTTCTAACGATCGATTGTTTGTAACTCTAAAATGTAACAGCTCGGACTTATCACAGCATAACTGTCATAAGTTTTTTAACTAAACTAAGTGTCGCGAGGTCAATAGTTTTTTTCCCATCTAAAAAAATACATAATTTTGCTTTACTTAAAAGTTTTCGCTTTAAATTATTTTTTTGGTTTAGTACCGCTGTTTATATTTTCATTAAAAACATGTCCTCGTATACTATATTTGCTTGTCTGGAACACAATAACACACTCGTAAGCGTTTAAACAGCATCCAAATGTTTGTAAAGGCTTCAAGCTTGTGGACGTTTGCCAAGTCTGCACACATGTAAACTAGTCACAAGAGATCGCCGTAAGCGATAAGACCACCAATTGTTAGGTCTACATATTTGTAACTCATCTTTTGTTATGTGTTAAGTGTATACGATAAAAATATACATAAATAAATATATTGTTATTGAATGGTACATTGACTATGTTCCGTTATCTTCTTTTGTTATAGATTCATGTTTGTGACGGCATTGGGTGACAAAATCATTGACGCGTATGCTGGTGGCATGCATACTATCGCTCTTGACAGTAGTGGGAAGGTTTGTATCTGTTACATAATAAATATAGTTCATACCGTAAGGGTATTTCTGATAAAAAGCATTTATTGAACGTTTGGAAGTTCATGACATCATAGTTGACTGTTACTTTAGGTCAGTTCCTAGATAAGGCCTATATTTACAAATAAAGCATTCTGTGATTGTTTTATCCATCCAAAGTCTTCTTTCAAATATACTTATTAGTCAATATATTATCTATATTAATTTTATATAGATATATATAAATGTGAAAGTGTGTTTGTCTGCTTCCTCTTCGCGTTTAAACCGCTGAACCGATTTAGATGAACTTTGGTATGGTAGTTTGATTTTTAAGAAAGGAGAGACGTGTGTGGATAGTTGGAGCTACAAGCTACAGGGTGCGTTGTGTGCGCAGGTGTGGACGTTCGGGTGCAACGACGAGGGAGCGCTGGGCCGCGCGACGTCGGACGACAGCGAGGAGGTGCTCCCTCGCGCCGTGGCGCTGCCGGCGCGCGCCGTGCGCGTGAGCGCGGGCGACTCGCACTCCGCCGCGCTGCTGCACAACGGGGACGTCTACGTGTGGGGCGCCTTCAGGGTACGTACCCGCCCATCCACACACCTACACCTCACACTCACTTTGTGCGCGTGAGCGCGGGCGACTCGCACTCCGCCGCGCTGCTGCACAACGGGGACGTCTACGTGTGGGGCGCCTTCAGGGTACGTACCCGCCCATCCACACACCTACACCTCACACTCACTTTGTGCGCGTGAGCGCGGGCGACTCGCACTCCGCCGCGCTGCTGCACAACGGGGACGTCTACGTGTGGGGCGCCTTCAGGGTACGTACCCGCCCATCCACACACCTACACCTCACACTCACTTTGTGCGCGTGAGCGCGGGCGACTCGCACTCCGCCGCGCTGCTGCACAACGGGGACGTCTACGTGTGGGGCGCCTTCAGGGTACGTACCCGCCCATCCACACACCTACACCTCACACTCACTTTGTGCGCGTGAGCGCGGGCGACTCGCACTCCGCCGCGCTGCTGCACAACGGGGACGTCTACGTGTGGGGCGCCTTCAGGGTACGTACCCGCCCATCCACACACCTACACCTCACACTCACTTTGTGCGCGTGAGCGCGGGCGACTCGCACTCCGCCGCGCTGCTGCACAACGGGGACGTCTACGTGTGGGGCGCCTTCAGGGTACGTACCCGCCCATCCACACACCTACACCTCACACTCACTTTGTGCGCGTGAGCGCGGGCGACTCGCACTCCGCCGCGCTGCTGCACAACGGGGACGTCTACGTGTGGGGCGCCTTCAGGGTACGTACCCGCCCATCCACACACCTACACCTCACACTCACTTTGTGCGCGTGAGCGCGGGCGACTCGCACTCCGCCGCGCTGCTGCACAACGGGGACGTCTACGTGTGGGGCGCCTTCAGGGTACGTACCCGCCCATCCACACACCTACACCTCACACTCACTTTGTGCGCGTGAGCGCGGGCGACTCGCACTCCGCCGCGCTGCTGCACAACGGGGACGTCTACGTGTGGGGCGCCTTCAGGGTACGTACCCGCCCATCCACACACCTACACCTCACACTCACTTTGTGCGCGTGAGCGCGGGCGACTCGCACTCCGCCGCGCTGCTGCACAACGGGGACGTCTACGTGTGGGGCGCCTTCAGGGTACGTACCCGCCCATCCACACACCTACACCTCACACTCACTTTGTGCGCGTGAGCGCGGGCGACTCGCACTCCGCCGCGCTGCTGCACAACGGGGACGTCTACGTGTGGGGCGCCTTCAGGGTACGTACCCGCCCATCCACACACCTACACCTCACACTCACTTTGTGCGCGTGAGCGCGGGCGACTCGCACTCCGCCGCGCTGCTGCACAACGGGGACGTCTACGTGTGGGGCGCCTTCAGGGTACGTACCCGCCCATCCACACACCTACACCTCACACTCACTTTGTGCGCGTGAGCGCGGGCGACTCGCACTCCGCCGCGCTGCTGCACAACGGGGACGTCTACGTGTGGGGCGCCTTCAGGGTACGTACCCGCCCATCCACACACCTACACCTCACACTCACTTTGTGCGCGTGAGCGCGGGCGACTCGCACTCCGCCGCGCTGCTGCACAACGGGGACGTCTACGTGTGGGGCGCCTTCAGGGTACGTACCCGCCCATCCACACACCTACACCTCACACTCACTTTGTGCGCGTGAGCGCGGGCGACTCGCACTCCGCCGCGCTGCTGCACAACGGGGACGTCTACGTGTGGGGCGCCTTCAGGGTACGTACCCGCCCATCCACACACCTACACCTCACACTCACTTTGTGCGCGTGAGCGCGGGCGACTCGCACTCCGCCGCGCTGCTGCACAACGGGGACGTCTACGTGTGGGGCGCCTTCAGGGTACGTACCCGCCCATCCACACACCTACACCTCACACTCACTTTGTGCGCGTGAGCGCGGGCGACTCGCACTCCGCCGCGCTGCTGCACAACGGGGACGTCTACGTGTGGGGCGCCTTCAGGGTACGTACCCGCCCATCCACACACCTACACCTCACACTCACTTTGTGCGCGTGAGCGCGGGCGACTCGCACTCCGCCGCGCTGCTGCACAACGGGGACGTCTACGTGTGGGGCGCCTTCAGGGTACGTACCCGCCCATCCACACACCTACACCTCACACTCACTTTGTGCGCGTGAGCGCGGGCGACTCGCACTCCGCCGCGCTGCTGCACAACGGGGACGTCTACGTGTGGGGCGCCTTCAGGGTACGTACCCGCCCATCCACACACCTACACCTCACACTCACTTTGTGCGCGTGAGCGCGGGCGACTCGCACTCCGCCGCGCTGCTGCACAACGGGGACGTCTACGTGTGGGGCGCCTTCAGGGTACGTACCCGCCCATCCACACACCTACACCTCACACTCACTTTGTGCGCGTGAGCGCGGGCGACTCGCACTCCGCCGCGCTGCTGCACAACGGGGACGTCTACGTGTGGGGCGCCTTCAGGGTACGTACCCGCCCATCCACACACCTACACCTCACACTCACTTTGTGCGCGTGAGCGCGGGCGACTCGCACTCCGCCGCGCTGCTGCACAACGGGGACGTCTACGTGTGGGGCGCCTTCAGGGTACGTACCCGCCCATCCACACACCTACACCTCACACTCACTTTGTGCGCGTGAGCGCGGGCGACTCGCACTCCGCCGCGCTGCTGCACAACGGGGACGTCTACGTGTGGGGCGCCTTCAGGGTACGTACCCGCCCATCCACACACCTACACCTCACACTCACTTTGTGCGCGTGAGCGCGGGCGACTCGCACTCCGCCGCGCTGCTGCACAACGGGGACGTCTACGTGTGGGGCGCCTTCAGGGTACGTACCCGCCCATCCACACACCTACACCTCACACTCACTTTGTGCGCGTGAGCGCGGGCGACTCGCACTCCGCCGCGCTGCTGCACAACGGGGACGTCTACGTGTGGGGCGCCTTCAGGGTACGTACCCGCCCATCCACACACCTACACCTCACACTCACTTTGTGCGCGTGAGCGCGGGCGACTCGCACTCCGCCGCGCTGCTGCACAACGGGGACGTCTACGTGTGGGGCGCCTTCAGGGTACGTACCCGCCCATCCACACACCTACACCTCACACTCACTTTGTGCGCGTGAGCGCGGGCGACTCGCACTCCGCCGCGCTGCTGCACAACGGGGACGTCTACGTGTGGGGCGCCTTCAGGGTACGTACCCGCCCATCCACACACCTACACCTCACACTCACTTTGTGCGCGTGAGCGCGGGCGACTCGCACTCCGCCGCGCTGCTGCACAACGGGGACGTCTACGTGTGGGGCGCCTTCAGGGTACGTACCCGCCCATCCACACACCTACACCTCACACTCACTTTGTGCGCGTGAGCGCGGGCGACTCGCACTCCGCCGCGCTGCTGCACAACGGGGACGTCTACGTGTGGGGCGCCTTCAGGGTACGTACCCGCCCATCCACACACCTACACCTCACACTCACTTTGTGCGCGTGAGCGCGGGCGACTCGCACTCCGCCGCGCTGCTGCACAACGGGGACGTCTACGTGTGGGGCGCCTTCAGGGTACGTACCCGCCCATCCACACACCTACACCTCACACTCACTTTGTGCGCGTGAGCGCGGGCGACTCGCACTCCGCCGCGCTGCTGCACAACGGGGACGTCTACGTGTGGGGCGCCTTCAGGGTACGTACCCGCCCATCCACACACCTACACCTCACACTCACTTTGTGCGCGTGAGCGCGGGCGACTCGCACTCCGCCGCGCTGCTGCACAACGGGGACGTCTACGTGTGGGGCGCCTTCAGGGTACGTACCCGCCCATCCACACACCTACACCTCACACTCACTTTGTGCGCGTGAGCGCGGGCGACTCGCACTCCGCCGCGCTGCTGCACAACGGGGACGTCTACGTGTGGGGCGCCTTCAGGGTACGTACCCGCCCATCCACACACCTACACCTCACACTCACTTTGTGCGCGTGAGCGCGGGCGACTCGCACTCCGCCGCGCTGCTGCACAACGGGGACGTCTACGTGTGGGGCGCCTTCAGGGTACGTACCCGCCCATCCACACACCTACACCTCACACTCACTTTGTGCGCGTGAGCGCGGGCGACTCGCACTCCGCCGCGCTGCTGCACAACGGGGACGTCTACGTGTGGGGCGCCTTCAGGGTACGTACCCGCCCATCCACACACCTACACCTCACACTCACTTTGTGCGCGTGAGCGCGGGCGACTCGCACTCCGCCGCGCTGCTGCACAACGGGGACGTCTACGTGTGGGGCGCCTTCAGGGTACGTACCCGCCCATCCACACACCTACACCTCACACTCACTTTGTGCGCGTGAGCGCGGGCGACTCGCACTCCGCCGCGCTGCTGCACAACGGGGACGTCTACGTGTGGGGCGCCTTCAGGGTACGTACCCGCCCATCCACACACCTACACCTCACACTCACTTTGTGCGCGTGAGCGCGGGCGACTCGCACTCCGCCGCGCTGCTGCACAACGGGGACGTCTACGTGTGGGGCGCCTTCAGGGTACGTACCCGCCCATCCACACACCTACACCTCACACTCACTTTGTGCGCGTGAGCGCGGGCGACTCGCACTCCGCCGCGCTGCTGCACAACGGGGACGTCTACGTGTGGGGCGCCTTCAGGGTACGTACCCGCCCATCCACACACCTACACCTCACACTCACTTTGTGCGCGTGAGCGCGGGCGACTCGCACTCCGCCGCGCTGCTGCACAACGGGGACGTCTACGTGTGGGGCGCCTTCAGGGTACGTACCCGCCCATCCACACACCTACACCTCACACTCACTTTGTGCGCGTGAGCGCGGGCGACTCGCACTCCGCCGCGCTGCTGCACAACGGGGACGTCTACGTGTGGGGCGCCTTCAGGGTACGTACCCGCCCATCCACACACCTACACCTCACACTCACTTTGTGCGCGTGAGCGCGGGCGACTCGCACTCCGCCGCGCTGCTGCACAACGGGGACGTCTACGTGTGGGGCGCCTTCAGGGTACGTACCCGCCCATCCACACACCTACACCTCACACTCACTTTGTGCGCGTGAGCGCGGGCGACTCGCACTCCGCCGCGCTGCTGCACAACGGGGACGTCTACGTGTGGGGCGCCTTCAGGGTACGTACCCGCCCATCCACACACCTACACCTCACACTCACTTTGTGCGCGTGAGCGCGGGCGACTCGCACTCCGCCGCGCTGCTGCACAACGGGGACGTCTACGTGTGGGGGCGCCTTCAGGGTACGTACCCGCCCATCCACACACCTACACCTCACACTCACTTTGTGCGCGTGAGCGCGGGCGACTCGCACTCCGCCGCGCTGCTGCACAACGGGGACGTCTACGTGTGGGGCGCCTTCAGGGTACGTACCCGCCCATCCACACACCTACACCTCACACTCACTTTGTGCGCGTGAGCGCGGGCGACTCGCACTCCGCCGCGCTGCTGCACAACGGGGACGTCTACGTGTGGGGCGCCTTCAGGGTACGTACCCGCCCATCCACACACCTACACCTCACACTCACTTTGTGCGCGTGAGCGCGGGCGACTCGCACTCCGCCGCGCTGCTGCACAACGGGGACGTCTACGTGTGGGGCGCCTTCAGGGTACGTACCCGCCCATCCACACACCTACACCTCACACTCACTTTGTGCGCGTGAGCGCGGGCGACTCGCACTCCGCCGCGCTGCTGCACAACGGGGACGTCTACGTGTGGGGCGCCTTCAGGGTACGTACCCGCCCATCCACACACCTACACCTCACACTCACTTTGTGCGCGTGAGCGCGGGCGACTCGCACTCCGCCGCGCTGCTGCACAACTGGGACGTCTACGTGTGGGGCGCCTTCAGGGTACGTACCCGCCCATCCACACACCTACACCTCACACTCACTTTGTGCGCGTGAGCGCGGGCGACTCGCACTCCGCCGCGCTGCTGCACAACGGGGACGTCTACGTGGGGGGGCGCCTTCAGGGTACGTACCCGCCCATCCACACACCTACACCTCACACTCACTTTGTGCGCGTGAGCGCGGGCGACTCGCACTCCGCCGCGCTGCTGCACAACGGGGACGTCTACGTGTGGGGCGCCTTCAGGGTACGTACCCGCCCATCCACACACCTACACCTCACACTCACTTTGTGCGCGTGAGCGCGGGCGACTCGCACTCCGCCGCGCTGCTGCACAACGGGGACGTCTACGTGTGGGGCGCCTTCAGGGTACGTACCCGCCCATCCACACACCTACACCTCACACTCACTTTGTGCGCGTGAGCGCGGGCGACTCGCACTCCGCCGCGCTGCTCCGACTATTATTCGTCCCACATGACGGTGGAGTCAGCTCCCTTCGTATACTTTTCCCCACTTCGTTAGTACCCTTATCATTAATATTGGTACGGTGATCATATCTGTTTTCCCTAGGACTCGCACGGCAGCATGGGGCTGGTGGTGCGCGGTCGCGAGGCGAAGGCCAGCAAGGCGCCCGTCAAGCTGGAGCTGGGCGAGCCCGCCGTCGCACTCGCCTCGGGCGGGGACCACCTCGTCATACTCTCGGTCAGTTACACTCATTAAGTAACATTTATCTTTATTTTTGTCATTTTAATATCAAAATTGTATTTAAGCATTTCGTTGTCATATGTTTTGTCCGTGATGGTGTTGTAGACGTCAGGCGCGGTGTACACGATGGGCTGCGGCGAGCAAGGCCAGCTCGGCCGCCTGTCGCAGCGCTCGGCCTCGCGGGACGCGCGGCAAGGACTCAGTGAGTTTATATTTTCTACTCTTTATTTATTTGGTCTTTTTTTGATTAACTCTTAGGACGTCGCGGCGCGCGGATGACCTATGACCCGTTACTGTCGCGCCCTTGAACTATTGACCCAGTCACAGCTGAGCGAAGTCATTATTACCTCAATATCAACGTTATTTTATAATTATATTCAATGAAATAAACATATTTGGAATCCCTGATATATATTCTTCTAAATGTTGTGACAAAGACGCTACCGCGTAAAAATTTGGTGTCACAACTGTTGTGACGGCGACGCGTCGGAGGTTAAGAATCCTTATTTGGATAAAATAAATTTAATCACCATGTAAACACATTTTATTCTCGTACATGCTTTTGTTATTACTGACGTGATCTAGAAAATCAAAATCACGGAATACAATTTAACTAGGTATTTTGGAATTATCTGGAATAAGAGGTGGATTAAGTCAGACTTCGATGTAGAAAATCAGGTCAAAAACTCTAAGGATAGTCTTTTATTATTTATTTACAAACAAATGTTAGGACAATATATATGAAATTGTAATAATTTAATGATAATTTAATTCTTAGTGAGAAATAAAGATCTTAAACCATAAACCAATATAATATGAAATTGAACAGTTGGGCAATTTACTTATTTAAATCATATCTCTTTGGAGAAGACTATCTAATTATAAAATAATTAATTTTGAGTCATTTACGTGTCTTAGGTCCTTTTATATTGAGTGGCCCTAAAATAGATCCCTGTGGCATTCCTGTTTTTAATTTAGATTTTAATATCATGTATTGTACCTTGCTGTTTGTTTTTTAGTGATACTCATGTAAGGTGTTAGAAAACTGGGTTTATTTATTCGTACAAATGTCGTAATGCTTAGGTTTTAGTACTAACGTTTGAGACTTAGTCATATGCTTTTGAAAAGTCATAGGTTTGTAATCGTTTGAATCTTGACTGTCATTGTCATTAGAAAGTAAAATGACTTATTGTTCTTTATGAGATCAGTGAAATTTCTTTCAAAAACAATAATTAAATCTTAACTCGGAAGGAAGTGTAGCTTTTGGTCGACATTCTCCATTCGGCTCTAATAAATTGTATCTCAGCTTGAAACGTAAAACGGGTTGTGTAGTCGTATATTATTTTATATTTTTATTTTTACACGGATATTAAATATCATCTGTGTAAGTTTTATTTTTAAACTATATTGTACGATCGGGATTTAATATCGTTTAATTAAAGGCGACCCGTTTTCGTAACACCTTTTTACTAACGATTATACGTGACGTGTCAGGTGCGCTGCTGGTGCCAGCCAAGGTGTCGCTGCGCGGCGGGGCGTCGCGCGTGTGGGCGGGGCAGCACGCCAGCTTCGCGCTCGACGCCGCGGGCAAGCTGCTCGCCTGGGGACTCAACAACTACGGACAGCTCGGTAACCCGCGACGCTACACCTCACTGACCTACAGTTATAGCGCTCTGTCTGAAGCCCGAGTGCGAGTTTATTTCACATCTACTCGATTGTCAGGTTACAGCGTTCGGCACTGTGATCTCCACCTATCAGGAAGCCAAACGCGCTCGCCGTCGAGAGCGAGTCGATGTCGAATAAACTTCCACTGAGGCCTCTGTAGATTACGCAAAATTTCGTCCATCGTTTAACTCATCCTTCAACTCTCCCTCGATGTAAAAGTCAGAAAGATAATAACAATGTTTGCGTTCCCAGGAGTGACGGGCGAGAAGCGCAAGACGGCGCTGTACACGCCGACAGAGTGCGACGCGTTCAGCGCGCTGGGGGCGAGCTGGCGGGCCGTGGCGCCCGGACAGCACCACTCACTCGCGCTCGACGCCGCGGGGCAGGTCTACGCCATCGGGCGCTGCGAGTACGGCAGGTACGGGCCGCACACAGAACCTGACAGCTCCATCACTCGAAAACAACTAGAAATCTCTCAGGGCCTCATTCTGCTATTTTATGTTAACGCCATTTTCGTTCCATTGATACACTATTCAAATGCCTTTGAGACACCATTGACATCGGTCAAAATATCATCATTCTACTATCATAAAATCAATGTGAATAGACAATCGAGATAGTAATATAGGTCATCGATGGTGATATCAACAACATTGCCATACCTGGAAAATTAAATATATCATTTTTTCTTACAAATTTAAAATGTACCGTTTACCAAACTATTACAAAGACGTCGACGACATTTGTATCAGTGACAAGTCATCGGGAGACAATTGGTCTTACATTCAGTAAAGCGACATTTCATCAACAGTCTATTGATACAATAATAAAACAAAAGAATTGAGGCCCTGAAGTGTCTCTTGAAATCGAATCTTCCACTTTGAAACTCATAATATTAAAAAAAAAATATATTTACCATAGCTGCAGCATAACAAAAAATGCTACTTAATGCAGTAATTCACAGCAAAACTGATTTTAAGCAGTTCTTTACGGAGTTAGTTTGGTTACCAGAACCAAAACCCCTCCCTCTGATTCTAGGGGCAAGGACTAAGGTTTGCAAGTATCCGTAAGCAGCAGTAGTCACTTACCATTCCCCCATACCAAAAAAACATCCCCACCCCCTAAACCTACAAATTTTATCTAACACATTAATGCATGTCTCTAGATTGGGCCTGGGCGATCGACCAGGAGACGCTGAAGCCCTCGAGCCAGTTCCCGCGCTTCAAAACAAGAAATGTGTCAGCATAGCGGCTGGCACTAGCAACTCGTTTGCTGTCACACATACTGGTCAGTAACTAATTTTTTTAATCCATTAGCATTAGGAAATAATGACAGTGACAGACCGGATCAGCAAGCTGAAGTGGCAGTGGGCTGGCCATATTAGCCGCAAAACCGATAACCGTTGGGGAAAACGAGTTCTTGAATGGAGACCGCGTCTCGGCAAGCGTAGTGTAGGACACCCACAGGCCAGGTGGAGTGACGATTTGCGCAAGATGGCTGGCAGGAGCTGGATACGAGAAGCCAAAAATCGATCTAAGTGGCGTGCAATGGGAGAGGCCTATGTCCAACAGTGGACTGCGATAGGCTGATGATGATGATGATGACAGTGCATCCATCTAGCCTCGCCTCCTGACCAATCGAGTTCCAAGAAATAAACGTTTTATACGCAAACTAGGAACCTGATTGGTCAGGATACCAGGCTTGATCGATGCGTCATTATTTTTCTAACGCAAATGGACCTTAACGTTTCTACTTCTGATCACTTTTTGACTTCATGTAGTCCAAGACTTTCTTTTATTTCAATTGCTAAAAAGTTTGTAGTACATGTAAGTTAATTTGGTATGTTTTTTTTAACAGGTGAAGTGGTATCATGGGGTATGGGGTCTGAAGGGACCTTGGGTACGGGCCAGTCGTCGGACTGCACGACCCCCACCCCGGCCGTAACCCCGCCGCTAGCCCCCCGCGTGCCTGTACACATCTCAGCTGGTGGACAACACACTGTTCTCCTTGTTGTATGTATTAATGTTTAATCTCCATTTATTAATGTAACGAAAGATTGAGACGTATGTTTGCAAAACCTTATTTCAGTAATGTTCATATAATTAAGAGACGTTCGTTGTTCATTGAAATAGGGTATCAATATTTTTCCAAGTCTAAGACCTCGGTCCTAAGGTCCGTGTGGTGACGGATTAAGAATACAGAGTGTCACCACCTATTCCTATTCCTCCCGTGGGTGTCGTAAGAGCCGACTAAAGGAGAAAGCTACGCAGAACAACAGCACTGCAGAGAGAAGGAAAACTTGACACAAAGCCTATATTAATCTGGCCAGCGTGGTATAGTAGGCCAAAACCTATTACTCAATAAAGTTACATATTATAAAACAGAAATGAGGTTCATATAAATTATGTACTACTAAATTATGTACTACTGTTAGTAAACGCTGATCTCTAAACTAGGTTTAGTACCTGTATTTTAGAAATCAGTGCCCCTGTTGTTTTTGATAAAATACTAAGCCATATACATTATGTTGAGATCAAAAAACAAAAAAGAACAATAACATTTAAGAAAATAGTAAGGAAAAGGGTTAGTTGATGTGTGTGTACTAATGTGTGTTCGAGTTTATGTATGTGTGAGGTGTGGGTGTGTACGCGCATGAGTGTATGTGCGTGTATATATGTAAGTGTGATCATGTGTGTATGCGTATGATTTACTATTTCAAGCGTCCCAGCAGAAGATCCTCAGTGTTACGATAATCTAATTTAAGTAGAAATTTTTTGAGTATATTTTTACATTGGTATTTATTTTTTGAATATATACCAAGAACTTTATTTAGGTAGTTATATAACATTATACTATTGACATGGTTTTGTCTCTTAGCGAAAGAAGTTCTGTGCATCTCCAAGGGAAAAATCCTGTACTTAAGTCTTCCAGCAGGCTCTGTAGGAGGACGAGACGAGTGTTTACGAATCACACATTGTAGGACATAGAGCTGTCTGACAGTTAAAAGATTGCATTCTGCATAAAGAAGTTTAGTGGGATATCTGAGTGGTCGCGAATACATAACTTTCAGGACTGCCCTCTGAGCTCTCTCCAGTCGAATGAAGACTGTTTCTGTGGCTCCACCCCAAACCGGTACACAATAGCTTAAAACTGATTGACACAAGGCAAAGTAAACTATTCTTAGCGTATCCAGATCTGCCGAATTACGCAGTTTTTTGAAGATATAGATTAACTTGCGAGTTCTATTTGAGAGTAAACTAATGTGTTTTTGCCAATTTAGATATTGATCTATATATACCCCCAAGTATTTGACATGATCAGCTTTAGTTACTGTTAGACAGTCGCAGTTTGCAGAGGTTATGCATGTATGAGCTTTCAAGGAAAGAGAGCTTGGAGGCAGTGAATTTGATCTAATGGCAAACGGTATATATGTAGTTTTATTAAAATTTAGGGTAAGTAAGTTATTGTTCAGCCATAGCATTACATATGAGACTGCGGCCTCAGCGTTATGGTAGCACTGGGCCCAATCCTCTCCATCGACTACAAGCGCTGTATCGTCGGCATATGTGAAAATTTTGCAATGTTGGACCGGGAGTTTACATAAGTCATTAATGTAGATGAGGAAGAGAATTGGCCCCAATATGCTTCCCTGGGGGACGCCGTAAGAGATTGGAAGCTCATCACTCAAACATTCCCCAATCTTGGTAACCTGGGTTCGATTCTTGAGATAGTCATCAAACATATCCAATACAAGGCCTCTGATTCCAATGCTTTCCAATTTTCGCATTAAAATCCACGCTGGGACGGTATCAAAGGCCTTAGATAAGTCTAGGAAAAACCAAGACTCTTTTGCTTTTTATCAAGCGTCTTTGCTACGTGATGAGTTAGACCTATGACTGTGTCCTCAGTGCTCAAATCCGATCTAAAGCCAAATTGATTATTAGCAAGAACATTATTTGATTCTAGGTAGCTAATAAGGCTTTTACTTAGAATTCTCTCAAGGATCTTTGATAAGGCTGAGAGAATGGAAATTGGCCTATAATTGTTGACATCATCCTTGCACCCTGCCTTATATATTGGGTGAACCAATGCTTTTTTAAATGAATTTGGAAAGTTACCTGATGAAATTGAGATATTGCAGACATGAGTAATTATGGGGACCAGAATATTTTTGCTACTTTTAAGTATACGTGCAGGGATACCATCCCAGCCTGTGGCAGAGTCAGATCTAAGGTTTAAAATAATTGCTTCAACATCTTCTTCGTTCGCCTCGAGGAGAACCATTGAACCACCCGAGCGGGAAGGAAGGATTGGGGGTATTGTTATCGCGGTAGTTAATGTTATATTACTTGCCAGCTGTTTACCGACGTTGGCGAAGAAGTCATTTACAAAATTAAGAGATGCTTCTGGAGTATTGCAAACTTGTAATAGTTCGGTTGGGGGAGCACAAACAGAACGCAAATCGGACACTTTTTTTATCACTTCCCATGTAGCTTTCGGATTATTTTTAGCTTTGGCAAATTCTACCTTTTCATACTCCCGTTTAATTTTCTTTAATAAAGAATTACAAAAATTACGATATCTAGTATATGATACTCTAAGTGTTACATTATCTTTAGATTGTTTTAGCTTAGCATGCATGCGGTCGCGGTGTCGAATACAGCGCAAAAGTCCCGGAGTAATCCACGGTTTAAGATATCTCTGTCTTCTTGGGATTATTTGTAATTTAGAATGTTTTTTTACGATGTCGGAGATATTCTTAACTAGCAATTCAGCTGCCTTATTCGGGTCATTCATACACAAGATTGGCGACCAATCAAAGTTATTTATCGCTTCCGTGACTAAATCGTAATTAATTTTACTTCGTGTCCGTGGCATGTCGGTATATCTCCTATCAGATTCCAGAACAAGCAGCACAGGTTCATGATCGGTTATTGATGACTCAAGAACGATGGTTGTAGCAGAAAGATTCGTTTTTAGAAGCACGTGATCCAAGCAGTTTGGTCCACGTGTGGGAAAGTAGTGGGCAGGAAGAAGTCCATATGAAGCTGCACAGCATAAGTACTCGCTTGAGTTATTGTCGGTATTACTATGTTTAATGTCGATATTTATGTCTCCTATCACAAGCATACTTTGAGTGGATATATTATTCAGAACTGTATCAAAACTTTCCAGAAATCTGGATATATTTTTAAAAGACGGAGAACGGTAAATAACAATTATGGATAAATTATCTGTGTGACAAATAAGGCAGTTAGCATCAAGGAAATGTGGTTCTGTTACATTAGCTTTAATGTTTGATTTTATATATAAAGCGCACCCATCATTTTGATTATATAGATTTTTGGTGTAAAAAGAGTTAAATCCAATTAAAACCGGTAGTTCTCCCACTTTACTTAGCCAACATTCAGTTAGGACCAATACATCACAATGGAAGCCGATACTCTCCATCAATGGGGCTATTTCGTCAAAATTTTTGGTGATGCTTCTAATATTTAAATGTAGTATTTTTAACCCTTTGTCAGGGTGAGTAATATATTGCACACAGTTTTGAGGCTGGCATTTATAGGATTTTGATACCTTAAGGGAGTCTATTTCTTTATTTATTGTTTTTAAATTAGCCATTTCTATTGCATAAAACACAAAAGAGGAACTCGCTCGAATTAAACCCGCGAAGAAACACAGCATAAGAATTCAAATCGCATAAAGACGTAATAAACACTAAACATAGATAAAGTTGGATGCTTTTGTATATCATATACCAATTCATTGGGCTAACGAGTGTATGCCCTTGTGCTACTAAGAGACGCCTAATTGTAATAAAACGAAAAAACTTACGTGAGATTTTGTGTGTGTGTATTGTTAAAAGAAATGCAAAAAAAAGAATACAGTATACCAATCGCCCTCCCTCTGTCACTCCCCACAGGCATTTTCTCTCTTCCACTTCGCGTAAAGTCCGCTCCGATCTAATCAAAATTTGCTTGGTGCCTTCCGTCTTCCGTAGAAAAATATTTCCATTACTAGTCCAACAATACTTGAAATCATGTAATTTCGCGAATTCCCTTGCTGTGTAAAACAATTTTCTCGAGCTGTAAGGCAGATATTCTGCAGCATAGATCGGGCGAAGATCTCCAGTCAATCCAATCAGTTGCGTATTTAATCGATCCTCTTTAGAGTTTTTTTTTCTATTGAATTCTTTCGCCCGGGTAAGAAATTTTTGTTTCATTTGCACGCTGGAAAACTCGGTAACTATTGGTCTCGCCGTTCCTGTCTTACCTGGAAGCCTATATATATCGCGAATAAGCGTTTCATTTAGGCCTATATCAAGGACCGAGCCAAGCTTGGTGATAATTTCAGTCAAGTCCTCCGTCGTTTCCTTGTCTTTAGTCTGAACGACGTTGCGAACTTCAATACATGATGAGTGCGGTGACTGCTGCAACTCCAGTATTTTACTTTCCAAAGTGCTAATGCAATCTCTATATGATTGTTAGAATAGAAATAGAAATAGGTAATTTTTGAGATATAAATGCAAATAATTTTTATCTAATCCAACTTCGGCCAGTTTGTGGATTGTATTATTTCCTCATAACATGATCCTTTCATGTATCGAAACTTATAATCCTACTTCTGTACAGGAGGATCCAAATCCACAAAAAGAGGATTCCCCGCCCCCAGAAAGCGAGACCTCAGAACAAAAGACGGAACAGGACTCCCAAGAATCGCAAGAAGAGGATGAAGAGGAGCCGAAAAATAAACGGCAAAAGTCGGAACAAGAAGGAGAGATATCTAGCACCTCGTCTGCACAACCCAGCGAGCTCGGAGACAACAAACCACAGGTGACAGAATTATATATTACAGTTACAAATCATTCTAATTAGGGTAAACAATGACAGGTCCTGTGACATAAGCTTAATTTAAGTGGAAAATAGCATGTCACAGACTTCCAATCACTTAATTGAGGGTTCGAACCCCAGACAGTACATGATACAAGACCCTAAACCACTCCCAAATTTTGCCAATTATAATTCCAATAATGTAATGGGGGTAAAAGCCTAAACTCAGAGAGAGTTCATACGAAACAAAAGACAAAATCTGGGTTTTGTATACTCCACTCTATCCCTTCAGCGATATAGTGAGTCATAGATGTATGTATGAATACTGATTCTACAAATACTATCTGTGTTGTAGTTCTAGAATTGTTTATCCACCTTTAGTGAAATAATAATTTCTAAAAAAAAATAGGGTAAAAAGAAAAAGCGTGGTGCAGGAGTGTCGTCGACTAGCGTCAAACCAAAAGAAAGGAAAAAGGCGCGGCGAAACTAGGTTCTATTGTTTCACATGTTCTCATATCAACCGCAACCACAGTCTTGCATGAGCTTGTTAATTTTTTAAAAAGAAAAACATTTGACACATACCGGGGTCAGGTTTATTCCCCAAAAAATATCCTCCATACTCCTTCACACTGTCAGTGAAGGAGTCTGAAATCCCTTACAGTTGTTATTAATAAAATCAATCTTGTTTAAATGTTTAGTTACGTTGAAGATGTCATTTATACATAAACTATATTTTTCCGTGTGGTGACGGATTAAGAATACGGAATGTCACCACCCCTATTCCTCCCCAAGGAAAACTTGTAACAAACCCTATACCAACCCGTCTGGCCAGCGTTTTATAGTAGGCCAAAACCTCCTTTCCAAGGAAAGGCCTATGTCCAGCAGTGGACTATTATAGGCTGTTGATGATGATGATATTATCCGCAGTTTAGCTTGTGTTAAAGTACTTTCCCGACCATTGGTTTCTGATAGGCTGAACAAAATATTATCCATAAAAAACAAAATATGTCAACTGTTTTAACTCCTATGATCAAGTTGCTGTGATTTGATCTTTGAATCATTAAGTAATGCATTTACCAACTCAAAGAGAAGAGGTTTGACATATGATTAGCTAATTGAAATTAATTGATGAGAACTGATCGTTCCACACGGCAAAATTTTCATCCTCATTACCTGGATAGTTGGCGCTCCACTACTGTGCGCTTTTCGAGACACTTTTTGCCCCGCACAACCAATCTGTGGAACGGGTAATCGATTGCGGTATTGCCGGACCGATACGACTTTCAAACCTTCAAGAAAAGAGCGTACTCCTTCCTAAAAGGCCGGCAACGCGTTTGTGACTCATGAATTGCAGACGTTCATGGGCGGCGATGGTCACTTTCCATCAGGTGACCCGTCTGCTCGTCTGCCCCCTCTAACATAAAAAAAAAATTGATGAGATTATTAATTGACTGGCCTGTTGGTCTTGTGGTTAGTGACCCTGACTGCTAAACCCGAGGTCGTGGGTTCGATTCCCACCCAGGACAAATATTGTGTGATGAGCACAGTCATTTGTGTGTAATTTATCAATAATATGTATCTATTTAAAAATATATAAGTATGTTTATCAGCAGTCTGGTTACCAGAGTACAGGCTCTGCCTAGTTTGGAATAAGACGGCCGTGTGTGAGATATATTTATTTTGATCAGCTTTTCAGAAACCAGGTGCAAGTATTCCCATTCAACATTTATAATAAAAAAGTCAATACTTGATATTTTTAGTCAAACCAGCTAAATCTGTATAAGATATATATTAAAATTCATGATGACAAAAATACAAACATGGGGAAATTTTCAGCGATATTAACAGTGATTACAAAGTTTAATAAGCTCATGCCGGACTTTCAATTTTAACGAGTCAGGCAAAAATAACATCTCGTACTTAACAAACAAACAAATTTTCAATTATAAAGAACCCAAAACAGGGTTTACAGTTAGTCATGATAAATTAAAATGCGAATCTCGACCAAGTCGCCACTACAAATCAGTTATATTATCCTACCTGTCCTACATGAATCCTAAAATCCTACATCAATTTTGACTCGTTAAAATTGTAAAGGTTGTCTAGTTACTGTTGCACAAGTAATCATAACGTTATTAAGAACAAAATGCTTCCTATAAAATTACTACAATGTTAATTTTGTCCATCGTTTAAACATTGAAACTTTAGATACGATTAGTTAGCGTTAAAATGATACTCTGGATTATATATATAATTATTAATACGATAATTGACGCTATCAATAGGTATTACACACCATTGGCTAAGTTGCACTGGCCGTTTATAAGCCTGTAAGATCGAAACATAACTATGTAGTACTTACTGATGGCTTAGTCCTCCATATTAATAATTATATATCTTTAAGAACAAAACTTTACAAATGTGTGCAACAGTAAAATTTTATCATGTATTTAGAGGTTGGGGCAGAATGTAGTCCATACTATCAATAGTTCATAATCTACAGATTAAATATATTGCTATTTAAAAATACAATGTCATAGAAAATATATAATTATATGTGTATATGCGAATTGACGTTTAAATATGTTATAGTCTGAACTTTTAACTGGTCAAAAGTATTTTTGACCATCATTGGGCAATAGTACTTTTGACTGCTGCGTCAGATACCATTCTACTGCACTGATGGCGTAGTGGTGTAAGCGGGCGCTACATCGCTTACTACTACGCTGAGTATTGTGGGTCCGATCCACACACGGGACGACACTTTGTGTGATCCACAAATTGTCGTTCTTTGTGTCCGTTTCATGTATCCTTAAAGTCCCCTGCGATTTTGACCGATTCTGACTGCTCGGTTTGTAGAGTTCTGACTGTAACATATATTACATACCTTTGAATTGTTGATCAGATTGACTGAGTTGAGTTAAAAAACCAATGGTATGCATATCTAATGTGTGGTAGCAATATCTTTAATCTGAAGTGTGTGAATACATACAAAGTTGTGAATATTTTTGTGGATTGATTTGAACAATGTTATTAATAAAACTTAGTGTTTTTTAAATAAAAATGTTGCTTAAAATTTTAGATACCAAGTGTTGAAAAGGGAGGTTTTAGGTATTTTTTATGAGTAACTTGTCCCAAGAAATTACATGGATAATAGAAAAGTAATTGCATCTATATAATGCGATATCTATTAATAAAATTCTTATTGTTTAAAACCTTTTTTAATCTATTTTTTTTTTAACATCAATCCATAAACTAAGAAATTGGTGGTGGCTTTTAGTTTGTTTTTTTTTAGTTTGTTTAGTCGTCATTGTGTTGTCTTCTGTGTTAATCTTTAGTTAAGGCTTTAGATTTGATTGGCAGTAGGTATTAATTTAACTTTATGTATGAAGTAACAGAAACTTGAATGTTTTTAATCTTATCTTAATAGAGAGTCGGACTACTGGCTCGAACCCTTCAGGTTTCGAGATCAGTCCCGCTGGGTAGACGGAAGATTTCTAATGATTGATTGTAATTAATGTTATTATACAGGGTGTAAGGGACGTCGTAACGAATACTGAAATACTGTATTCAGACCATCATTCTGAGTCGATAATCATTAGAATTTTCTGCCGGTATATTAACCTTTTTATGCAATGGTAATATTTTATGCAATCAGCTGTCAAAGGTTAAGGTCATTCCCCGTAGGTATCGCACAAAAGTAATAACTACATGTGTATTCCGTGCAAACAGTCTACTCGCACTAACACATGTTTAATTAATGACATTGCAAGTTTTTGACCGCATGCGTTTACTCGTTGTGATATAATTTTTAACCAAAAAAATAGCAAATTATAAAAAAACCAATGATTTTCGACTCAGAATCATGGTCAGAATACACTATTTCAGTATTCGTTACGACGTCCCTTACACCCTGTATACGATTACTCACTAGTTAATACGGTAAAAGTTACATATTGTATGTGACGATATAATTATCTACAAGTCAGGTCTCATCAAACACAAACGAGCAAAACAATAATTGTTTTGGAACTAATGTATTTTTTTTAAATATTTGTGTGTATACTTGCTTCAAACAGACGCCCCTAGCTAACACTAGTTCTTATTGATTATGTTCTAAATTATATATAGCCAACTTAGATATACTTGAATTTCAGTGACTAAAGCCGCTTAAAAGTTAAAGCCAGAAATATACGTCTACGAGCTAGGGTATGTGATTAATTGTAATATTTGTACTCGCAAACAGACACAATTTATTTCAAATAATTACAACATACAGACGTAATGCGTCGTCGAACGATGCTGTCCTCTCCTTCCGGGAGGTGGACGTTAATACCCATGACACAGTTTTTAACTAATATGGCTGTTATCGAACATCTTTAAATTATATATTGTTTTCTTGTTCCAAATACAGATTTATTATCTATACTAATATTATAAAGCTGAAGAGTTTGTTTGTTTGTTTGAACGCGCTATTCTCAGGAACTACTGGTCCGATTTGAAAAATTCTTTCAGTGTTAGATAGCCCATTTATCGAGGAAGGCTATATATCATCACGCTAAGACCAATAGGAGCGGAGCACCAATGAAGAATGTTTCAAAACGGAGAAAATTTATTACTATTGAGAGACGCAAACGAAGTTGCGCGGGTCAGCTAGTTATTATTATAATAATAAACATTTGCGTCAATGGTGCTAATTCTGTTCTTCGAAAACTCTCTTAACTAAACTAAAAATCACAAAGAAATAGTTTAGTACTGTCACGTACTACGTTTCAAAATACGAAGCGTTGTTGGACAGGACTAAACAAATTTTTAGTAATTTTTAGTTTAGTTACTTTCCAACAACAGAAATAGCTCGAATATTACCTTGTATTGTTCGCTATTCTTCGCACTTACACTCCTATCGCAAAATTAAACTCTCAAGCTGCATCGCCTCGCTGTGGGTGTGTTCTGTAGGTGCGTAAACTTGCCCGAATATAATATTATCTAGTAATAAAGCAAATGATTCGTATCCCTCTAGCAACTTCTAGAATATTGATGGACATTTCGAAGTGTTTGTAAAATCTGTTTCGCTCGTTTTTGTTTGAACTTAGACCTGGTAACATGTTCATTATAATTACTTTAATAAATATCATTTAATTTGCAGAAGGTGAATGGTGATGAAAAGAAGGAGACGCCTATGGAGGTGGATGAAACTGGTAAGATCATGTTGGTTTTTGTGACAATTTTGCCAGGTTAGGTCACACATACATTATCAACAGCCTATAACAGTCCACTGCTGGACATAGGCCTCTCCTTAGAAAGGAAAATATTTTTTCTGTTCTCAAATAATTGTGCGATGAACACAATCATTTCTGTGTGTAATTTATCTACAATACACATTTTTATTTAGAAATATATGAGTATGTTTATCAGCAATCTAGTTGCCATAACACAGACTCTGCCTAGTTTCAGAGCAGACTGCAGTGTGGGAGATCTGTGAAAATATTATTTACTGAAGTCTAAATAACAGAAAAACTAGTGGAAAGGAAAGAGTATTAGCATCCATCCTTAATCTAAAGACCCTTAAAAACGTGTTAAAAATAATAATTTCATGGTTTCAATTTACAGACAATTCCCAAAAAACAGACCAGAAAGAGGATACAGAAACAAAATCAGAGGAACAAACAACAGACATGGAACAAACCGAAGCTGACCTAACACAAACAGAAGACTCCAAACCTGAGACCACAGACACATCCAGCCAGGAGACGACGGACAGCGATACCAAGTCGCAAGTCCAGGAGGAGATTCAAGAACCACAGAAAGATGTTGAAATGGCCGAGGAACGGACAGAGGTGAACGGTACACCAGAGAGTCAAATCGTTGAACCTAAGTCTGTGGAAGTTCCAAGTGGTAACCCCATAACCACCACAGCGTGATGTTAGTGTTTTGTGACAGGACAGTACATTTGAGTTGGTTTCTACGTTCTGGGTTACGATTGACACCGTTCACACATATCCCGGATATCATTTTTCATTTAACATTTTGATGCTTGACGTGGCTTATTCTAATACTCCTCTCTGAATTGGCATTTTCAGAAAAGTCCGAGTTATTTTTGTATTTTATATGACGTAAAACATATTAGTAATTGAAAAACGATTTGATATTTTTTTTTTGGCTACAGGCTATAGAAAGAGTGGGGGAGAGTCAATGCTTCAGCACAAATGTGCTGGCTCGACCGGAGTTATACCACAGCCTTACAGAAAACCAGTGTTGAGTAATTCTTTCGTTGTGAACTTGTTCTTTCTTTCAACACACTTGTGTCTATGAGTTTGAGGTGTTCAAGGATATGTCTTACCATCAGGTACCACACATGTTTGTTTGCCCCTTGTACTGTAAAAAAAATGGATGACAAAGTAGTTTATACCATGCGTTTAGTGCTGTGACTAACCAGATTAAGTTGGTAGTTTCATGAAAGCTGTGGTAATGTATGGCCAGGACTCTGGACCAGTAACTAATTGTTGCAAGTTCAAACCCCACCCATTTGTAACATTTAAAGTGGTGTTGAATAATTCCTCATGCAATATATCTTCAAAGATAATATAAAAGATTTATAAAATATTTTTGTACTCACGATATTAAAGGTGATTTAAAAATTATTCTTTAATAATTGTTACCTTAGATGTAAATGTATTAGATTTTGTAGCTGAAAGCTACGTTTGAGCTCATGTTACGCATCAAAATGTATGTTAGTATTAAAAGACGATATTTGGCACAATTTTGTCAGGTTTATTATGAAATAAATAAGTTAATGTGAACGCGGTGGTTTTGTTTGGATCTAAGCTTGACGCGGGCTGCTTGTGCCTTCTACAGAGTGCTAGATCTTAAAAAAAATGTTCAAACTAAAATTTAAAAAAAATATATTCCAAATTTGAAATTAATCTTTTTATTACTAAACAATTATTTGAATTTAGAATGGTATTCTTGACAGATGCATTTCATACGTCATAAATGTCAGTTAAGTTCTCTCGTTCTGTCACTTAACCCGAACGCAAAAATCGACTAAAGTACGTAAACAGTACTATTTTGGCACTAAAAGTTAACACTGGATGGTACCAAATTCAATATCTATGTACTGTTGTTTTATGTTGAGGTTTATTTACAATGGTATGAGGGTATATTCGAAGTTGATCTGGATAATAGACGTATATTAGTTCAGTTGTTTGACGGGAAAGTTGCTTTTAGATTGTAATTTTTATGTAAGAAGCACAATAAAGGGTACTAGACACCGCCTAGCGGTAGAATTTAGACCTTAATTTATAAAATATATCAAAAATATTGCATTTATTATTGCATATTATTTTTAGACGAATCAAAGGAAGAAAGAAAATTGGTCTAAGAACACGTATAGAGGGAAGGACCTAGGGTAAGGGATGTCAGAAATCTCGGATGGGGGTCCGAAACTCGATGTATCCTGTACCCTAGTAGAACTAAGATAGCAGTGGCTCGAAAAGGACAAAGATAAAGACATCAATAGGCCTAACTAAGGACTAACATACCTAAAGGTATATTAGTCCTTTAATCCGTATTTATTATTTATAAACAACAAATAGAAGTGATTGATTTTATAGAAAAAAGAGGAATGTAACAACACATTTATGAAACAACCTCCTGCTCCACTGAATCACAATAAACAGACATATGCCTAGTAAAACTATTGGTATAATATTATATAGTATATTATCCAAAGTAACCCAAAAGATAAGGTAAGAAGTGTTTTTTAATTCTTTGAAAAAAAATGTGTGTGTCAGTATACTTTCCCGTCAAATTTTATGAATTATTTTTTTCCCACTTCAATAGTTCACTCTTAGAATTATCCATGATTCACATGTTTGTACAATTTAATAATTAAATCTATGACTAGATACACAAAAATACGATCTAAGTGACTGTAGAACATTTATAAAATACAATTAAATATTTAATTTTGTAATAGTAATAGCTTTTTTGTCACCAGAACACTTGAGAACCACAAACAGCAATGCAATTATGAATATAGATATCAGAATTGAAATCTTAATATTAAGCTTTATGAATTGATTCACAGTGAATTTAGTACCATAGACAAAGTTGTTTTTAAGGAGTTTTTAATTGTATCGTCACAGACCCCATAGACTATAAACATGTAGTGTTTTCAACTTCGAATATGGCAAGACTTACATCGCGAGCGTGCGCGTCGATATTTTGTTATAATTTTTTTGATACTGTATTTTTGTTTGTATAAATACGTATTTATTTACTGAATCAGCTAAATATTGAAATGATAAAATGTTTACATCACACGTTTTTTTAGCTTCGTCCGAACAAGAGAAACTTTACAGGTGAATAAATCTTTACAGTAGTAATGATAAAAAAAGAAGTAAATTTTAAAGTAGCTTTACGTGGGCATAATATTAGACATAATTCGTCATGTGTGACATATCTACCGACTGATAGATATAGTAAGAAAATGTGAACAGAGTTAAAAAAAATAGTTTAGGGGAAGTATTCGCCCTTACTGTGGAGAGGGAGGCTCGGTGTACAGTTGATAGGAACAAATACCTTTATACGAACACAAGGCAGTCACGTCCAACGCGCGCTCTCGCGACCACTCGCTGTACGTTGTATCTTGTCGTGGAACTTTCGATAGATTGTGGTTGCTAGAATAAAATATATGATATAAATAAAATAATTATAAGCGAATTCGTCGATTGTTGTATGCGTGTCCTTGACTGGTACAAAAATAACAATATCTCGGGAGATAGTTAAGTATTTCTTAGTAAAACATTGAAATCAGTTAGTAAACGTTATGTTGAAAAGTTTTTTTTTTAATTATTTTATAGTAACGTTTTTTCGTGCATGATTATAAAAGTACAAAATGTACGAGTTCTTCACACGACGCTATATTTCTTAATTGTTAAAATAAAGATGAACTATAATGTATTGTGTTTTCCTAATAAAATAGTAGTGTAATTGTTGTTTTATTTATTGTTCCTGGCAACTCTACCCTAGATTTAAGCTCTAGTCTAAAGCGTAAATTCGAGCTTAAATTATTATAAAAATTATTGCTATTTTTAAATCATATTCATTTGATGAAAAGATTAGTTTTAGGTCACACCTATATCACATGTGATTGTGATTTCGTCTTAGACAAAGATAATGGAATTAAAATAAATCAAAATTTTTATCAGTCCGATTTTTTATTTATTTAGACCTTTCGCGAGTCTTGTGTTAACGTAATAATTAACTAGCAGTGGTTTTGTAAATCAGGTGTGATGATATAATTTATCTGTACCATTCTTAGATTATTACAATAAAATTAAAACAAATTTTCTTATCGATATGGTTTATTTTTCAAGTTGCAATAACTACACATTTGGAATACAAATACTACGCTACATGCGTGTTGAGCGTTTGTTACAACGACTAGCAATACGCGCACCGTGAATAAAACCTAGAAAAATGTACTAACAAAAATAGGTCATCAGACCTAAACTTGGATGTGATAAGATAGGTATAGTCTACCAATATTTTAGGAGAATAACCTATTAACAAACTTTTGAGCAAAACAATGCAAGCGCGAGAAACAAAAAAAATACAGATATTCGGCCTAACGACAAAATTTAAATACTGGTTTGGTTGTTGTTAATTACTACCTTATTAAAATCTATAGAATATGTGGCTGATTTACAAAAATATGTTTAAAAAAGCATCATTTAAGCAGTCATTTTTGCTAAATTTACACATCACTTGTTAACAATTTTACTGTTATGTAATATTTATTTAAAAGGATAAAAGAAATACCAGCTCACAAGTTGTGAACCTAGGTACCTAGATATAATAAACGATAGGAACAGCCACACTCAATGACAAGTGGACTGCCTAGCGATAATTAATTGTAATAAATATTCACAGTTAAATGAATTTCAATTAGGTGAAAAAAAAAAGTGCCTTTTACGGCAGTAGGTACTCTGTTTCCTGATATATACCTAAGTTGTAAGGCTGTGTCAGCAGGGATAATCTCATGTTTTATTTCACTGTGCGCGCATTGTACGTAGGTTTCTTTATTTTTTACGATTACACGTTAAGAATTTACATACAAAACTATTTTTTTAGTCTACTTTTATATTTGTTACCGTAAAAAAAGGCTTTGAAAAATTGTCTTTCTCTTTGGAAATACCTAATTGGTATTTTGGCCGCCAAATTTGGTTGAATGTTTTTAAAATAGGAACTAAGAATTCGATACATCCTACCGAGATGTTCACGTACACATATGTCGATCACGATTCCCTAATGCCGAATTAGCATGAAAAAATCTGTAAATATATATTTTATTTGTACATTTGACCAACAGTGACGACCAAAAGTTATAAAAGTACCTTTTAAAACAGAGCAGCCGTACAAGAAGCCACGTTATACTAACATATCATATAAATACATATCTATTTTGAACTAAATATGCAATATGTTTTCATTTCTAAGTCTCTTGGCACTTTGCTATTTAAAATGTTGATGTTTGTTTTTTTATGAAATGTTATGTTTATACAAATAGGTTACTTAGCTTTATAAATATGGATTATGTAAAGTAAATCGTCATACCCTTTTTATTTGCAAGCCACTTATTTCATTTTCTTTTTTTGCACATTTTCATAATCCATGTAGAGGTTATTCTCACATTAAATTAACACCGGTTTTAAATCCAATAGTGTCCTTCATATCAGCCATCAAGACTTCAGCGAATTTAATTGATTATACATAATAATAGACTAAAATAGCACATTGTTTCGTGAAAACATTTTATTGGCACCAAACTTTATTTTTTCTCTAACTACAACATTCTGCATATTCAGTCCAAACTTACATAAAAAATGTATTGAAACTGTTACAAAACATCTTATAATACCATAAGTAATTTGGTTGAACACAAAAAAAAACATATTCGAGTTTTTACTAATTAAAAAAAATGCACCTTTCCTTTTTTACCAATTCACTGTTTTAGAGTACGATCCAATTATCCAGTGACTTCTGGTAATTAATTAATGCTCAATCACAGTGACTTCCATTATGAAAAATGGCTGTCACATAATTTCGGGTGAGCTCGTTGAAGAGGCCCAAATATTCTTGGTATTTTTATAACAAAATTGAAACAGTAATTGTTGAACGAGATGTCCTGTGGCAAAGCTAACGCTTCTATGTGGACTAAACCCACAATTTTTATTTTTTTAATACATTGAAATGGTAGACATGCGAAGGAAAAAAAACATTATCATTAAACAGCGATGGTATATGTTATGGGTCAGAACTCTTTTACTGAACAAAAGTATTTTTGTCAGGAAAAATCAGTCAAAAGAACTTTTGACTACATCATACTGTTATAACCTAATTTAACTCAAAAGATTCATAAACAATAGAGGGGATCTGGAGTTAATAGCCACTGTTCTAACCTAACCCTAATGATTCAATAATATGGTATCTGGTAGACATAGAAACTATTGCTTCTTCTAATCATATGATCAAATGATTGCTTTTAGTCACATCGATTTCAACAGTTTTTGTAATTTGGTCAGAGACAAAGATAAATGCCATTAAAATCAAACAAAATTCTTTTTATTAAAGATTACGCCCTTTTTCGCCAGTCTATATCGTAATAATAACAATAATGTCGAAAAGGTTTTGTAAATGAATCCAAGTTGATTGAAGATTTATATATCATAATTATACCTCTGAATAATTTACAAAACCACTAGACTTATTATTATTATTATTACGCAAGCGCAACACTTTCAAAAGTTCTAAATCTAAAACAAAAATCGCTGTGACTAAAACCGATCATTTCATCATTGCCCAGTGGCAGTTAAAAACATTTTTTGGCTAGTTAACAGTTCTGACTGTAACATATACACATACATATGTGTTGTGTACAACTGAGTATACATAGTATATGTGTACACATAAGTATTACATATTAAAAACACATTCAGTTCTTGTTTGTAGTAGATAATATAAAAATATAATGATTATATTCAAAACTACAAGTTTCGGCTTTAGAATGTCACTTATCTACCAATTTAACATACACGGGACACAAATTATAAACATTAAATTTTTTAAGACATGTTTTGTGGAATAACAATATAGTCCGCACACACACTAACATCACACCATCTAAATGCAAGGCACTGGCAGTGTACTTGGCAATCATTTAGCAAGTTATCTTTGTTTTCATGAGAGAGGATATGAACTAACTAAAACCACAAATAAAATAATTTCTAGGTGCAATAGTGTGTTGTATCTTAGTTTTTAAGTAGGTCCAGAATTAAGTACTATTAACATACTAATAAGTTCATTGTAGATATACATTTAAACTAAACTGTACACTCTTTTTACTATTTTCAACCGACTTCAAAAAGGAGGAGGTTTTCAATTAGAATGTTTTTATTTTTATGTACGGGCATAACTCGGACATAATTCGGTCATTATATAAACGCATTTTCAAAATTCCTTTTTTGTTTGAAAGGGGTTTATCCCAAAATGGTCCCATTTAATTTTCATATAGATCTGATAGTGAGTTTCGAAGACAAATAACAGAACTTTTCAAAGAATGATAGCATTAGTATTGTTTGAGTTCAACTTTTTTTATGAATCATTTTCTTGTATTTTACTTATAATGTAAGGAGTTTATATAATTACATATTACATAATGGGGTTTGTGAGTGTGTGTGCCGTACTGAGTGTGTACACATTTAAGAAGCAATAGTAAACAAACAATTAACATTATCTTTTGAACACGATCACTCCCCGATGTCTGCGTCCTCTGTCTCCTCTGAAACAGAGACACTGTTATTGCAGATTGCTGTTCTAAGCTCAGTTTATAAGACTAGTTAACAATAAGACCACTATATAAGACTTTCACATATCCTATACAAAATTCAGTAGCTATGTATCTGATTAAGGTATCCAAACCAAGGTTTTGCAATACAAAAATGAAAAAAAGAATTAAATAGCAGATGTAATATATATAATATAAGAGTCACTTGCGCATGGCCGTGCAGACCGTGGCAACGCGTCGCCACGCCGTCTAGCCCCCGTATTAGAAGTATCACATCAATAAAATTATAGCCGTTTTACAATCAATAAGATTCTATGGAGAATGCTGCAGTAAGGTGAATGCACATGCTCGGGTTGTCCCATCTATTTAATAAATAGCTAACCGTTCTAGGCAATAGAGCAAAACGATTATAAACCCTTAACACAAAATAAAAGACTTAAATCATACTTTTGTTACAAAAACCAAAATCAGAATATATATGCGTATTTAAATTTGTGTGTTTTTATTACACTTACACGTATTAACCTTATACGGGTGCGGACCGGTAACCGTAGTACACCAATCAGCACTCGTACGTGTAACACCGAAAGCCTATCTAAAATACAACCTAAGTACGTGTATCGAGCGGGCACCGTAGTGAACCGAGCAATACTCGTACGTAACCTACGCCTAAATACCTAAATTCCCTAGCCCTACCAATATGTGACCCTGCGCTGAGGGTATATATACATATATAGATAGTGCGGGCAGTCTGTTACCGGAAGACCTAGGGTAACAGACGGAAAGAGACGGGAACAGGGTTTAGGAGATGATTTTCTTACTGCCGGTCAAGCAGGCTCACAAGACGGAACTGAATATTTTAAACTTGGACACAGAACAGGTCGAGGGATAGTAAAAATATTTTTACGTGGATTTAGGGGCGAAATCTAGCTTTGTAATATTATTAATCATCATCAACAGGCTTTAGTAGTCCACTGCTGGACATAGGGACTCTCCTTAGAGAGGAAGTTTTGGCCTGCTGTACGGTCTGTACCACATTTAAAAAAGATTACAGATATAATGAAAACAAATAACTATTGTAAGTATTTACCACTTTGCGTGTGGCCATTCTTGAGCCTCATCTGCCTGAACATTTGAACAGGATCCTCCGCAGACATGTTGCTCTCTTCGGCATCTTCAAACTCATCCTCACCTAAAATTTATATTAAATATTTTCGTCACATCATTCCACCATTCGCATCATTGTATACCCTTTTTTTTTTTACCTCGGATACCACCTGTCGGTGGCATGCCGGACTCGAACCGACTAAAACCGCACGCCGTCTCGGGTACTAATAGCCGGGGAACCAGGTACACTCTAGAAAGCAAGTCCCTGGTGCCCCGACATACCTCGGGTCATCTACAGACGAGTAGACGACCCCCCCCCCCCGTGTGGGAACCCCATGTTCCCTGTGCTCCCTGGAAGCTGTGATGCGCGCTCGCTTCCATCCAGGCCTGCTTCTGCTAGGGTGACAGATGGCCTCACCTGTCACCCCCAGGCCTGCGCTTATGGAGGACGGAGGTCGTTCTGCGACCATTGTATACCCTAATTCATTTAATCATTTCTTGTCATTTATTCCCTTCTGTTAAGTGCACATACCAATCTGGGACCTCAGCACAGCAATCGCATACGTTACCACTGCACCATCGAGGCAGTCATACAATGACGTAGACTTGATAACATAAAGCCAATTCTCGTAATAAAAATTCGGTCAAAATTGAGTTCCCATCTAATCTCGATCTCACAACTGTCATAACAGGTATTCTCGTAGTAAAGTATTAAACATCTAACATTGACGGTAATATGATTATATCGTATTGTGACCGAAAGTTGAATCTGTAATCTGTTAGTCTTACTAATATTTGACTATTTTACTAGAGAAATACCTTTTATGCGGAGTCGAGGAATCGATAGTAGATCGGAACTGAATGGTAACTGGATTTTTATTACGAGAATATGCCTTCAGAAATCATATCCAAGAACAGGAGTTGCAAAAACTTTAGTGCATATTTTTATCGGACGTAGAAGCACAAGTCCTCTGGATTGGATAGTAGGGTTGAGGTTTCTATATGCCCTGTGAAGCTGTAGTACCACACCGGTCGAACTATATAGCTCTGTCATGGGTCACGTACGTTTGCAGCAGATTGCCTATCATTCTAAAGATTCAAAAAGATCACCTATCATGTACAATACCTTCATCAAATTCCTCTCCATCCATGTAATTTTCTTCATCCTCATCTGGTGACTGATTGGGGTCAGGGTTTAGAGTCTGGCCCTGACTCATAGCGTTGTACATCGCTTGTAAATCGTTCTCATTTTGTGGTACAAACCTGTAATTGAAATATATAATATACTTACGAGTTCGTCTAGTTGTTTAGCGATTTTGATTGTTTAGCCAGAGGTCTTCGGATTGTCTACCCATTCGGGAATAAGACGTAAGTATTTGTTTTCTTGTGGTGCTAGTGCGCGAGTGATTGAGGCTTTGAGTGGTGTAAATACTTGCTGACTCAAGTAAAACTAACAATTTATATATTTTTATATTCTTACCGAAGTTGTGTGTACGCTTCTTCACCGTCGAATTCATTATCCTCATCATCATCTTGAGGTGCATCTCCACCTCCTGAGGATTGGCTACTCGGGGTTGGCAATCTAGAGATACATGAAACATGACAGTAATACTGCTAATATATTTTGGGTAGGTTTATTTTGAGGTCCAAGATGTAAACCTTGTAGGACACCTAGTGTGACAGATTTGATAGACGATCAAAAAATTACAATCTAAGTAAGATCCCTTTTTTTTTCCGTGCGGAAATCCCCTCGGATACCACCTATCGGTGGCATGTCGGACTCGAACCGACCGTCTCGGGTACTAATAACCGGGGAACCAGGTATACCCTAGAAAAGAAGTCCCTGGTGCCTAAGTAAGATCCCACAAGTATAATTGTGAACAGTTAAGCCGATAAAAGACTAAAGGCCAATGTATTAGATTCATTTAAGAAAGTATAATACTTTCTTAAATGAATGAGACACTTATTCAAAGCTTTTGAGTAGTCAATATTTCTGACACATCAAAATGCTAAATCTTTATTACTTTTTTAATGTGGTGGTACTTCCGTCTATTATACATTTACAGTGGTGTTCATTGTAGTAGGTGTAATATACATAACACATCAATACTAACATTATAAAGCTTAAGGAGTTTGTGAAGTACAGGGCCTCAATTCTGCTATTTTATGTTAACGTACAAGCCACTATGCGACCACCACGATGAAACACCATTGACATCGGTCAAAACATCAGTATTCTACTAATATAAATTAACAGTGTCAATAGACTGTGGATGTAGTCACAATGGCTTATCAATGCCAACAACATTGCCATATCTGGCAACTTAAATATATATTTTTTTTACAAATTTAAAATGTACCATTTGTATCAGTGGCAGTTCAGTGGCAAGTTATCGGGAGGCCATTGGTCTTACATATTTAGTAGAATATGAAAAGAGCAAAACTATTCTGACAACAGTTAAAATTAATATTCGGGGATAGCGCGTTTTTCCAGGAAGGTCATATGCTACATAACATCACGCTACAGCCAATGGGAGCTCAGCATTAATGAAACATCTTGTAAAAAGAAGTAGAGAGACACAGACTGTACATAAGTGTTAAGGTTTGTGGAAAGCCTATTAAGTTTCCCTCATGGTTTGGTTTGTATTGGGTCTCAAAGATCATCAAGATATGTCAAATCCTACGTATACATATGTGTCTTTGGCTTTATATCAAAAGGGCACCTCAGACCATGAATTTGCTTCTGTCAGTGTGACACGTCATTTAAAGCTTACCTCAACTCGTAATTGATGACCAAGTACAAGGCTGGTGAAGGTGTCCTTTGTACAGCATGCATTGAGATTGTGGGGTACAGCAACTGAATTGTCGGAGACGGGACTCCATTAATGCTCTCTCCTCCACCCCAAACCACATTACTGAAATAAAGGAGTTGCTTTTCTACATCTAAATAATATCACCTTCTCTGTTTTAGATGGTTTAAAATTGTTTTTATTAATATTTGGATATTAGTAAGTGACGGATTAAGAATATGGAATGTGGAATTCCATCCCCAATTCATCCCATGGGTGTCGTAAGAGCCGACTAAGGGCGCAAAACAACGCAGGACACTGCAAAAAGAAGGAAAACTTGAAAAAACCCTATACCAACCCGTCTGGCCAGCATGGTATAGTAGGCCAAAACCTCCTTTCTAAGGAGAGGCCTAAGTCCAGCAGTGGACTATTAAAGGCTGTTGATGTGATGATGATGTAATGTAGGATATTTATGTGTTTTTTTTTTAAATTATTTATAACAAGTTTTTTCTGAACATAATTTAGTCCCTATCAACAACAAAGTATATTTTTTTACATCAAGAGTGATTAGAATAGCAGATTAGCAATGTCAATTGTTTTTAATAGAATCAATTTATCAGGAAAAAGGAATTTATTCATTGTTATTCTCTTTATTTATCTTTGTAAACATATTAAACACATTTTTTTATTATAAGTAGACCTGTTAAAGAATATTAGCCTATGAATATCAAAATCTATAGAGGTCAAAAAGGTTAACCAGATCCCAGGTATTACAAAGGAATGGGAAATAGAAATGTATAGTGAATTATATATTCTTTTGCCTTTTATTTTACTTAAGTGGTCATATCTAAGTTACTTAATACACATTTTAGTAAGTTTAAGAAATGGATCTACTGATTGTTCAGTCACAGTTTGAATATTTCAATGAAAAATCTCTGATGTGAGGCGTAATTTTGCAGAGACATACAATATAACTCAGCATGTTCGCTAGCTCGATGGATGTAACAGCCTTATTGGAACTTTAGCAGGTTTGAAACTTTAATTACGCAACATGTTTACAACTCAAACGACAACATCACTGCTACTACTATTCATCATTACTAATGATTTGTACCACCAGAAAGTTGTCCAGCGCTGTTTGATAGAGATAAGAATTGTTTTTTCTTTGTTATGATACTTATCGACCAACATTGACACTGTCAAAAAATCATATAAGAATAATCTGCTTACTTTTCGGTGATGTATAAAGTAGCTGAGCCAACTTCCAAGTTATTTATTATTAGTTTTGTATTAGGAGTTTGTAGTAAAACCCCTTGTGCCGGTGCCGAAAATGTTGAAGATACAACAACCATTTTTCTAAGAAACAAAAGTTATTAATTAAATCAAATAATATTTTGCGCTAATTAAATTATTACTCGCACGTTTATATGAGATTTTAGCACATGAATAACAGCAGAAAATGTAATAACAAAATAAATTCACGTGAAACACGCTTCGCCAAAGAAAGAATAAATGCGTTTCGTATTTGCTATATTTTGAGCCATAACTTACACTTCTGCACTTCAGTAATTGTTTGCTATTTAGACTAGTAAATCGTCTATATAATGTGTGAATAAATACATATAAAAGATCTTACTCAATGATATAAATATTGATCTATGTATTAAAGTATATACATTAAATCAGTAAATGTTATAAATCGTTGTTTTTACAAATGGTCGGAATGACCTATGTCAACAAAACGTAGTATTAAAATAATATTTTACCGACTATCCGTCATGGAGGAATTAAATTGTTTTATCAATAATATTATTATATTTATTGATTGTATCTAACTCTAATCGTTCCCATTTTGTAATTTGAAAATATTAATATTACTCAAGGTGTTTTCAAAAATGCACTACGATTGATGTAGCACTGAGTAGTTTCTAAAAATAAGTTTTATTCTATTTATTTTTTTGGAAAATATACTTTATTAATATAATTTTTATTAATTTACCTAGGTATTATGATTCGGATTATACTCGTAGTACTTTAGTGTTTATTTTGTATACTTTTTGTTGGTAGCACTGCAGCCTTCTGTCAAGTCACATACTTAACATACTATTTTATTTATGTATGAAAAGTTGAAGTTGATGCAGATTGTCAATAAAGTCTAGTGGAAGGATTGCGATCAATGAAAGAAAATAAATGAGAATAAACTTTTCTTAAATGGAACGATATAAAACTATTACTTCCGATATCCATTTTGTTAATGCGTCGTGTGATACATTCGACGGACTTAAAAATAGTGATAAATACAACACAGAATCCAATGATGTTAGTTTGTGCCTAAATCTTTTTTCTATCCTCTGTTATTAAATTATATATATCATTATTCTTACTAGCTACTATTTTTCTTTGACACTAGAAGTGTAATTACAAATATTTTTATTTCCTACTTACTTTTTAATTTGTTTTTTTTTAATACTTTTTAAATATTTTTTTAGCCCTTACAAGGACTAGGTAGTGAAATCAAACCAAAGTTTTACAGAGTCAATAGTGAAGTGTTCGCTGAACCATTCGAAACTATTTCAGATGGACTTAAATCTCATAAAAGTAAGTACCTACCTACTAAAAATGTTTCATAGAATGGTAAGATTAGTTTTTTTTTCTTAATTTTTGTAATTTTCTGCATGCCTTGGATTGACCAGTTTGCTTAAAGAAGGCTAGATAAAATTCAAATTTAGAAGCTCTTCTTTATATTTTTTTTATATGAACTTATAATGTTTTTAAACTATCAGATTCAGATTGTTTATTTGCATAACACAGTTATTAATTACATGGTATTCAATTCACAAACATTTTCACTGTGCTTTACCGCTATTGGTGTGAAAATTTTCAATTTATACATGCATATAATTTAAACATAATAACTTATATATTATTAGCATCATTGATTACCATAGAAAGATTATACAATGTCAAATATTCAAAGTCTTCCTGAATACTACTGAAAGAATAAACAAGAATTATAAAAAATAAACAACACATACTACAAATTGTCAGAGATATAGTTTAATACATTATAATAACATTTTTTTAAAGAAGAGCTTTTTTAATTGAGACTTAAATGTACTTATATCTTGTGCTTTTAAGTTGCTGGGCAATTTATGAAAGATTACTGCAGCTATGTGAAAGATGCTTTTATGCATCAGAGCAGTATTGGCTTTCGTGATACATAGCCTACTTTTGCCTCTTTGTGGTCGGATATATTTTGCTGACGTCGAAACAAACAGATTAGGGTTCCGATTTACAAACACAGCTACATCATATACTTAGAGTGGCGGCAGCGTCAATTTATTGTATTCTTCGAAGAAAGGTACACAACTCTCGATAGGTTTCATGCCAAACATTTTTTTTAATTGTTTAATTGAATTTTACTTAGTATGTCCCTATCGGTAGAATTGCCCCAAAAAAAATTATACCTGGTATGGTATAATTTTTTGGGGAAATTCTATATCATGGTATTCTGTCCTCCTATTTGGGCAAGTTTGTGTAGTGCTTAGACAGACTTACTGACTTTTTTACATAATTGTTCAAAATGGGGTTTCCAGGTTAATTTATAGTCAAGGATAAGTCCGAGAAAATTAGCCATTTCTACTTCTGAATCATGCTCCATTACATGTAATTATGTATTACCGGAAGTCACCCCATGACCACAGTCAGTGCAACCTGGTTTAAACATCAGGCATGTACTTAATACCTTTGCGGAGCTTGTTCATTACTGTAAGCATAATTATACATTTATAATTTTTTTACTTATCTGGAAATCACTAAAGCTTAGGAAGTATATGAGAGGAAATCACAAAAAATATTGTTAAGGCCATTGTAACTGGGCAGGTGGGTGTGAGTAGGCCCTGTCGGACATACTGTTCAGGTCGGCAGTGTAATAATATACCTCACACATGACCGTTTGATCCCAAACTAGGCAGAGCCTGTGCCTGTGACTGCACGGATGGCGTACTTGTTTAAGCGGTCGCCACGCTGTTTTCTACTGCGCCGAGTGTTGTGGGTTCAAACCCCACATGGGACGACACTTTGTGTGGTTCACAAATTGTTGTTCTGAGTCTGGGTGTTCTTTGTGTCCGTTTCATGTATGTTTGTAAAGTCCCCCGCGACACAGGATATAATCCTAATGCGGGAGTTGTCTTTTTAAAAAAGAAATAAAAATCAAACCCACGACCTCGGGCTTAGCAGTTAGAGTCACTAACCACTAGACCAACAGGCCGATCAAAATAGGAGCAAGGACCTCGTTAAAAGCGCCCGTAACTAACAAGCGTTTAAAACATGATGAATATGGATGAGCTGTGTATCAGAATCGAACGATGCACAAACTCATTTAACGATATGTGCAAACATGTCTGCAAATTCTGCTTTGATCGTATTTAGCTCAGCGAGTTCCTGTTGTATACCCTTAACACTGCCCACCAAACTTGGGAAAACTATCATTTGCGTCAATAATCTTTTGAGTTCAGACAGAATTGTATTCGCAGCATGCGAGGGCTGCCACCGCTATACTGCTACTACATTTTCATGTGGCTTTCGGTCGCCAAGCTTCCTCCATCCAGCTTCAGGGATGCCTGCACAAGGATAATCAAACCGCCCCTTACGCATAAAACAAGTGATACCGTTCCCAACTTCGGCATCGGAACACTTTCACGTAAACATTGCGGATAAAAGATTGTGCAAAGTACCTGCCGACGATAGCCGAGCGCAATCCGAACTACAAGTGAGCGACTCAAGAACCTATCTTGTTCGTTTAAATATTGCCGTTGATTAATTTTTCAATCGTCTTTAGTGATGTGGTCTCTTGTCGGATATCCGATTGAATACGAGCACTGTGTACGCATACATTACGCAATACAACGCTATATACTGTAGTGTAACGCTAGTAAACTGACTTTTAGCGATGCTTGTAATTTTTTAAGTGTTAGTGTACGAAGAGAACGTTTGGTCCCGCGCGGGTACTGTACTGGCAGTACAGGTAGGCGGAAAGTCATGAACCTATTTAATTCTAATACCCTTGCCTAATTGAATTTTCACATAAATACAAAACGTACAATTGTTCTGGAGTGTATTTTTATTTTGGAACTTTAAACTGTGTACTTCAGGCGCCTCGGTATATACGGTCGGCTTTAAATTTTATGATGAAAAAATATTTTACTTGGTACTTAGTCTAAGACTAACCTGGTGCAAAAATTATTTTGGTGAGTATTTAAATTGTATTCTAATAATAATAACTTGACAAGGCGCACTCACGACCATCTGCTCCCAAACTATGCGGAGCCTGTATTATGGAAGCCAGACTACTAATGAACACACTATATCTCTAAAGATGTATGTATATATAATATATGTTATTAGCTGACCCGCTAAGTTGGGGAGTGAGGGTAGGAGGAGAAAAAATACTTTACGACCTATTCTCGTACCTACCAAACATAGTAACACGAGATGTTTATATATAGATAGATAAATTAGACATCAGACACGGAAAAAATGGTCGTGCTCAACACACAATTGTTTACTCTGGATGGGAATAAATACCAGGAGCTCGTTTTACATTACATACATTGTAAAGTTCAGACAGGTCAGTCTATTTTATTTTTGTTCTGTTTTAACTTCAACTTAGAAAAAGCAGAAATAAGTACCTTTTCTAGCAGTCAATCTAGCTTTCATAGTACAAGCTCTGCTTAGTTTAAGACTAGATGGCGTTGTGTGTTAGATGTTCGAAATATTATTATTTTGTAAACATAATAACATTCTTTGTCCCCCAAAACCGGGTTGATAGTATGACTGGGGGATCGAGTCTCCGTACATTGTGTCTTATTTAAATAACTTGTAAACTATTACAACAATAACTTATTACAATAAATCTAAAAAATACTTTTTAAGTTTCCTCTTTGTTTGTTTGTTCCCTAATGTCCAACGGCAGACTATTGAGATGATAAGGCACTCGCTTTTTTAAAGGTCTGTCACCATAATAGTTGTGTATTCTTGGAACAGTATATCTGCCGTGGGTCACCGAGCGAGTGTTATATTCACCAGTGAATTTCTTCAATACATACTCCCGACTGCCATGATTATTTACTAAAAGTTGGTACTTGTCTTTTAAATTTTAATGTTAGGTAGATACCTACCTACCTACCTACCTACCATACGTTAGGTAGGTAGGATTTTACATATTTTATACAATTTAATTAAATTATTTTTATATTGTTCTTTAATGTTTTTGTTTACGAGTGATCTTATGAAACTAATTTGAATTGCTACTAGTCTATTAATGTATGTTTTAAATGAGAGACCATACCAGTCAAGAGCATAACCGATTATTAAATCTACTAGTGACATCTATGTACATCTTAATGTGCTAACAGGAACCTTGTAACTTAAATGATAAAGTTTATTTAATAGTATTTTGAGTTTATCACAGATATATCTATATGGTTGATCATGAGAATTTGTTGTCGATTTTCATGCCAAGGTAATCTACACATATAATATAATAAATAATATATATATATATATATATATATATTGTACACAGGCGGACTTATTGCCCAAAGCATTCTCTGCCAGTCGACCTTCGGGTGATGTAGAAAAATGATGCGGTAGGTGCAAGAGAAAACAGAAAATTTGTTTTTTTTATATTAAATTTACTGATTTAAGATAAGTCTAACTTACATATATACACTATATACTATAAATAAAATACTATATTCATTACTACATATATACGAGTACATAGAGGTTTCAAGTATACACATACAATACATGAACATACACATTTATAAACACATAAATATCAAAATACATAGGTGCTAATTCTGTTGTTCGAAAACTCACTAAACTAAACTAAAAATCACTAAAAATTTGTTTAGTTCTGTCAAACAACGTGTCCTATTCCGAAAACGTAATATTTGACAGGACAAAATTTATTTTTATTGATTTTTAGTTTAGTTTAGAGAGTTTTCGAACAACAGAATTACCACCATAGTCGGGTACTAGCTGACCTTTCTGCCAACTTATTTTCAAGAAGATCTTGTACTTTATCTCAATCTCAATCTCTCGGAAACGGCTCCAACGATTATCATGAAATTAAGTATGCAGGAGGTTTCGGGGGCGATTAATGATGTGATGTGTCGTATATGTGTATGTATACGTATATGTATGTAGTGAACCGTGTATATTTTCATAGATTACATGTCATATTGTGTAACCTCTGTGCACCTACCATATATGATTTCTACACCACCCAAAGGTTGACTGGAAGAGAAAGCCTTGGGCATTAAGTCCGCCGATGTACAAAAGTGCATAGTTTGAAATAAATAAATAATCGATCTAGCTAGGTTTAATTTTTAGAAAAATTACCAAAAAAATCCTTCATCCCGTGAGTGTCGTAAGAGCCGACTAAGGGCGCAAAACAACGCAGGACACCAGCAGAGCAATAAGAAGGAAAACTTGACACAAACCCTATACCAACCCGTCTGGCCAGCGTGGTATAGTAGGCCAAAACCTCTTTCCAAGGAGAGGCCTATGTCCAGCAGTGGACTAGTGGCTGTTGATGATGATGACCAAAAAAAAAATACCGGTCATCCAGATACTTAATTTCTTATGAAAGCATGAAAATTCATGTGTAAACAGCGGTAAAGGTTGTGTAGGGAGTTGTGAGTAGGGTGACTATATAACAAGTAATTTAGTTTTGTCGGAGTTTAGTGCAATACTATTATCGTGGGACGATTTCACGACCGATTTTATGTCTTGTTGTACTGATCTACAAATGTCGACGGTATCGGCGCCGGCTCGCAGTATACACAGGTCATCTGCGTACATGTGCCCTGTGAGACCCCTTCGTGCCTCGGAGAGCATGTTCAGCCGTCGGTCCCGGTTGCCATACGAACGTTGTGGAAATCGTTACGGGTAGTTGACCCCTTACCTGACAACAGACAACAGTCTTTCCACGAAACTACGATATTTCCTATTACTTGGTTTGTGGAGATCTGATGACAGTAGCTCCAAGTGAAGAAATCGAAGTTCAGCAGTATCGTAATAGACTTCAAGCCGACCCCAACCTAGTTTAAGTACCTAGAACAAAAAGTGCTTCTGGGCAAAGGCATTTTAATTTTCTTGGCCCGTACGTATATAATAAATGTAACAAGATACAAAAAATAAAAAAGCTCAGTCATCTAAAACTTAAAAGACTTGTACATACCTGGCTGAGTACAATGGACTACGACACTGTTGAAAATCTATTAAGAGTCGATAAGTGATGAACTAAGTTATTACCTTAGTCAACCAACTTATGCCCTAACACACATATATATATTCCAACACACACACACATACACACATACACACACACACGCACACACACACAGCGCATGAATTGATTATTATTTTAAATTTTAATTTTGTTTTTCCTTTCTTTTTTTTTTTTTATTTATTATACCAAAATTTTGACTGTCTATGTAAATTGGGGAGGACACTGGCTCCTGCAACACAGTATCTACTAGTGTAGGAGCCAGAGAATTCTGAAATTAATGTAAAAAAAAAAAAGTTTGGGGTAAACGCTTGGAGGAGGAAATTAATACCATACAATTTTGGTTCAGTACTCAGGATCTAAGTAAATTGACATAGATAACGTTTGATTTAACCATAGGTGGGATAATCAACCCAGAGACTCACCAAGATAAAATCATTGTTGTCGATAATGTGATCGTGCAGCAACGAACTGGCAAGAAATATAAAAAATATCACATCAATTTTGAAGATCCATCAAGCTTATCTTGTCCACAGGTAATTATTTTGTTTTTACTTTATTTATTTATATTTTAATTTTAATTTAACATTGATAGGACATACATGCTATCTTCATGATGATTATGATGTTTGCCGGAACTCGAATGATTCATCAGCCTTATTAGACCCTATTCATCATCTGATGGAAAACTGCTTGGCTGGAAAATATATTTTTTTGGTGCAATCGAGTTAAATGGTCACGTGATGGTAGGAGACTACCGCTGCCAATATACACTTATAACTCAAGGGTTACAAGTGTGTTGCTAGCCTTTGAGTCCCACCCCCCAAAATCAGAATGTTGATGAAGGAGAGGGGGTTTGACCTCACTCATCATTATCATCAGCCTTTAATAGTCCACTGCTGGACGGAATGGTCAAAGAGAAGTTATTTAAACACCTAAAAGATGCTCGCTCATATTATCGCATCATTATCAATAGGTGCTTATTAATACATTTAAGATAAGCACTTGCATCACGATAATTTGGCAAACTTTAACGATGAACTTTCTAACCAAACAATTAATGTAACTATCGGAACTTCACTCACGTACTTTCCTGACAGTCTTACAACAACAAACAATAACACTAAACAAAACAAATCACAATGCGCCATGTTTATTTTCTTTTTAACATACTGTTATTATAGATAGTTCAACTCAGTTGTGCGCGCGGCCCTATGTGTGCGTGGGCTTGTAAATATACAACTTTCATTCGTGTGGCAGTCTTAGTCCGACTGCCGCGTTACTGCCACACGAATGAAAGTTGTATATTTACAAGCCCACGCACACATAGGGCCGCGCGCACAACTGAGTTGAACTATCTATAGCTATGTATCTATGTATGTATGTAACGGACTCTTAGAACGTGATTTTGACTCATTTCAAAACGTCGAATTAAATTAAAACTGCACACTTATGAAGGACCGATGACAATGCAATAATTTAAATAGTTTGCACTATTATCCTGATCAGGACCTTCAGGATTAACGGTTTTTTTCCTCCACGTACTAAGGCGTGTGCTGAAGTACATGTGATAAACTTACTCTAAGACAATAACCATTATTAATTACTAAAAAAGGAAAAATAAATTCTAGTTTAAAAAAACTTGAAAAAGTAGGAAATAATTTTCTGTCAATAAAATATTTTTTTCAACAATTGAGATCTAGCACCCCAAGTTTTTTTTTTACGATAAAATGATTTTTCCTTCTGAACTTATAGAATGTTATTGCCTACTTTTAGTAAGGCTAGCTACAAGAGCGTGTTTTTTTTTTAATTATAATTTGTTCTAGCCAAGTAGCTACGAAACCGTGAACGGCGCTAACTCGCGAATTAGGAAACATGCGCGCACTCAAGCAACGTAATTATCATAAATGCTCTTCCCTAAGTCCTCTAGCGATAATATAACCTATCGGTAACAGCCTCCGGCAACCTCACTCAATGAAATGCAAGGACAGAATTGTTTTACACCGGTTTTCTGTTTAGACCATTTTATCCATCGAACTGATTTCCGTGGGACTCAGGACACAGCATAACAAAGAGAACTTGACACAAACCTTATACCAACCCGTCTGGCCAGCATGTTATAGTAGGCCAAAACCTCCTTTCTAAGGAGTGGCCTTCGTCCATTTGTCCAGCAGTGCACTATTAAAAGCTGATGCGGGGGAGGCGGCGTTTTGTTCGTTTCACATTTAAATAAAAAATATCACTACCAAAGGCTTTTGATGGTGATGAGCCGGTTCTACATTGCCGTAACTCCCAGATACAGCTATACTTCACAGTTTTTCTGAATACCCCAATATTTTAGAAGCTTTTTATACAAAACTAACTATTGCCCTCGTGGTTATTTATTAATTCGTGTTTCTAACTTTGAAAAGGCGAACTTCGGGGCGAAATTGCATAAAATCCTTTTTTAATGGGTGCTCACAACTTAAAAAGTATCAGCTGCCAAAATTTCAAGTTTAAAGACCAAGGTTTTCGGCTCTGCGTTGATGAATCATTCAGTCAGTCAGGACAAGTAATTACAGGTAAATTAGCTTGGAGAAATTTTTGCGTTTGTAGTAGTGTATGGTAGCGGACAGCGTAAACTGGTTTATTCTGGTTTTGTGCGTGTTTCCACTTTCCACTATCAAGTGACGATTTTTTGCTTTAGATTGAAATATCTCGGAAACGGTGCGTCCTAGGCCAAAAATAACAAAAATTTTGACCCCCCCGTAGAAGCCCCGGAGTTTTAAAAACCTAGATGAAAGGAAAAAAAAAAAAAAATTTAAATATCGGTCTCTCCTCTTTGAAGCTTCACTTCTATCGTGTGTGAATCGCACACACACACCTTTTTTTTTTATAAAGTCAAAACCTTTTTCTTTAAAACTTGTTTTTATTGAAAACAAAAATCAGAGTGTTGCTAGGGATAAGTATAAAATTAAATAGTAATGTTAGGATATCGAAATATTTTTGTATAGGCCGGAACGATATAGCGGAAACGCGATCTAAGATCTGAGTAATATACACACCACTACATATGCAAAAATTTCTCGAGACTAATTTCACTGTACACGTGTACAGATTAACTTTGAAAAACCTTCTTGCAGCCGAACTGCAATCGCAGTTTCTCATTAACGAAACTCTTAAAGGCACACATACGAAAAGTCCACTGCGCAGACAAGAATAGATGTATTTGCGAAGTGTGCGGTGATAAGTTCTCCAGCCAATACCTGCTGGTGAGGCACTCTGCTGTACATAACGGTAGGACAGTAAAGTGTCCTGTCTGTGATAAGGTGCTGAGTGAGAGGACTAGGTTAGTTTTGTTTTTTTTTCTTTCTTTTTAACTGACTCCAAAAAAAACGAGGAGATTCTCAATCCCGTTGGTCTAGTGGTTAGTGACCCTGATTGCTATACCAGAGGTTGAGGGTTCGATTACCACCCAGGACAAATATTTGTGTGATGAGCACGGTCGTTTTTTCTGTGTGCTTGTAATTTATCTATAATATTTATGTATTTAAAAATATATAAGTATGTTTATGTATTATGATTACCATAGTACAGGTTCTGTCTAGTTTGGAATCAGACAGCCGTGTGTGTGAGATGTGTGAGGTTATTAATAATAATATTATTTAATAATAATGTAATATTTTGTATTTTGTGTGTATTACTTCAGCATTCAGTCATTTATAAACAGAATTGGACTTTTTATTAAAGGGCGATACTAAGGGAGTAAACTACGCAGGACAACTGCACTGGAACTGCACAAGAAACGCTAGCCAGATAAGGAAAACTTGACAAAAATCCTATACCAATACGGGGTTTGTGTCAAGTTTTCCTTATCTGGCTAGCGTTTCTTGTGCAGTATAGTAGGTAGTATAGTAGGCCAGCGATGTATAGTAGGCCAAAACCTCCTTTCGAAGAAGAGGACTGCATCCAACAGTGGATTATTAAAGGTTGTTCATGATGATGATGATGAACATTAATATTATCTCGATGCGGGTATAACATATATTTAAAAAAGCATTATAAAATATTTATTTTGTTTTATAACGTATGAAAATCCGAAAATATATAGAAAGAGAGAGAGATCTATATCCGAGATCTAGGTGGCGTGCAATGGGAGAGGCCTATGTCCAACCAGTGGACTGCGATAGGCTGATGATGATGATGACGTACAATTTCATTTAATATGCAACCAAAAGAAATCGTATGTGTTGCGAACTACTAAACCAGTGGAAAAAAGAAATCCAAAAAAGCTCAATATTAAATAAGTTCCATTTTCAAAAAATTACAGTTTGTATTTCGCTTTTAAAATATATTTAATGTAACATCACATCATCACATCAACAGCCTTTAATAGTCCATTGCTGTACATACGCCTCTCCTTAGAAAGGAGGTTTTGGCCTACTATACCACGCTGGCCAGACGGGTTGGTATAGGGTTTGTGTCAAGTTTTCCTTCTTTTTGCAGTGCTGGTGTCCTGCGTTGTTTTGCGCCCTTAGTAGGCTCTTACGACACCCACGGGATGAATTGGGGTAGTGACATTCCGTATTCTTAATCCGTCACTACACTTACACATTTAATGTAAGATTAATACAAATAATATTTTAAAATAAATTATTATGCAAAATTGGAATCAGAATCAGAATCATTTATTTGTAAACATAGGTCAAATTACAATAGAGTGTGAGATGTTATGGATAGGCAAGTCCTCCATGTTTTGCCCAGGGGCGTACAAATATACACATTTTTACACATTTTACACATTTTCAAATATACACTTTTTCAAATATCATAAATTTGTAGGATTATTTAAACTTCCACATTATTAATAACGTCAATGATAATAATTAATAATCACATGCATGTCAAAATAAATACAAAATACAGTCAATTTTAATAAATGTCAAACAAATTAATTTAATGTCAATTCAAAATCATTAGGATAGTCGAGGTATTGTACAATTTTCTGAAGCAGTAATTATAGAATTGTCGTCCAAATAGTCCTTTAGTGAGTAATAGCACTTACTTATCAAGATTTTTAATACTTCTCTTTTAAAATTGGCCAGAGTTAGCGTTTTAATTTTTTCAGGTAATTTGTTGAATATTTTGGTGGCCATACAGAAGGTACTTTTATTCATTAGTGCAGTTTTGCCATATGTCACTTGGAGTTCCGACTTATTTTTATCTCGTAGTTTTCTGTAGTAACTTTTAGTTGCTAGTTTGTATGATGACTGTGATGTTGGATTTCACGAACATAATTGTTTCGTATATGTACAGAGATGGCAAGGTAAGAATTTTTAGACGTATGAAATACGGTCGACAACTGTCGGTGCTTTTTAGACCACACATAGCTCTGACACATCTTTTTTGGGCTTTGAATACAAGTTCTCTATCAACTGAATTGCCCAAGTATATTACGCCATATCTCAGTGTTGATGCAGCGTAACCGTGATAGGCCATTAGTACGGATTCTAGGCTTAGTATTTTTGATAGTTTATAAAGAACATAGGCAAATTTATTTAGTTTTTTACATACTTCGTCTGTCTGGGATTTCCAGGTCAAATTATTGTCTATATTAATACCAAGAAATTTAGTAGTAGTATTTGATTCTATTTTTGTCCCTAAATAGCTAATGTCAACGATTTTATTTGGTGTCCTTTGATAAAAATGCATAATTTTAGTTTTTTCTAAATTTATAATTAGATTATTATTTGAAAACCATGATATAATTCTATTTAATGTTGTATTTATTTCTTTTTCATAAGTATTGGGATCATCACACTTAATCACTACAGTGCTATCATCGGCGAACAGAACCATGGGGTGGTTTATTTGCCCAGGAAGGTCATTTATGTAAAGCAAAAAAAGAAGGGGCCCCAGCACGCTACCCTGAGGAACGCCGTATTTAATTATCTCGCTTTCGGAACAATATTTTTTTTCATATTGGTATTTGAGCATATTTGCTTAATTTCTACAAATTGCTTTCTGCCCGTTAAGTAAGATCGAATGAGATCAAGTACATTTCCCCTGACACCATATCTTTCAAGTTTATGCATTAGTGTAGGATAATCCACATAATCAAAAGCCTTAGTTAGATCCATATAGATAGCACGGATTTCTCTTATCCATATTTGATATAATAGGAAGAAGAAGGTCATGTATAGCCATATTGATTGACTTCTGTTTACGAAATCCCTTTTGTTCTTTTACCAGAATGTTTGATTTCTCTAGGTAGTTATACAAGGACTTATAGATGACCCTCTCAAATATTTTTGAAAATATGGGTATCAAAGCGATAGGCCTATAATTTGACATGGTCTGTCTATCATTTTTTTTGTGCAATGGTACAATTATTGACATTTTTAATTTCTCGGGGAATATGCCGTTAAAAATACTCATATTAATTATGTGACTAAGATGTGGAGCTATGTACTGAGATACCTCCTTGATAACCCTAGTGCATATACCGTCATAGCCAGCACTATTTGTATTTCGAAGTGAGTTAATATGATGATTTACATCTTGAGGTGTGGTCGGCTCCATAAATAAAGAGTTTAAGGTATTTGAGCGTACGTTAATTTCTTGTATGGACCTTTTTTTGGTTTGGGAACTTGCCTAATATAGAACTCGTTAAACGCCCGAGTTATGTTTAACGGGTTCGTGATTTTCTGTGTCCCTGTTTGAATTTGTGTTATCGGTTCTTGAGGGAAGCAGGTCTTAGAATTATTAATTATGGTCCATGCCGCTTTAGATTTATTTTGGGACGTCTTAATGAAGTAGTTATTTCGTGATGTTTGTGTTAGCGTTATAACTTTTTTAAATCTTGCAGAGTATGTCCTAAATGATTGTTTATTCGTAAGGGTTGGATTTATCCTACATTGCCATAAAAAGTGTCGTTTCCTTTTACTACATTTTCTTATCCCGTTAGTGATCCAATTAGCATTTTTAGTAATCGATTTTGTTTTTATTTCGTACGGAAAGCAAAGATCGTAAAAACATTTAAATAGGTCAAGAAAATAGGAGTAGGCCTCATTGACGTCACTAGTTATATATACATCCGAGAAAGTGAGGGCTTTAATGCAATTTACAAATTTCTTCATGTTATCTTGACAGTAATTACGTCTTTTTATTTTCCAACGTTTTAAGACGCATGTTTTCTTAACAGGACATTTTAAAAGTTGAGCGGTGTGATCGGACAGGCCTAATTCTATAATTTCTCCTTTACAGCCTTTTACATTATGTGCTATGTTGTCCAAGCATGTCTTACTGATTAACCTAGTTGGTTGAGAAAATTGCAATTTTAAATTATAGTTTAACAATGTATATTCGAAGTCTAAGGCTTGCTTATTTCTTTTCATTAAGTGGAATAACGTGTAGGCTATTCTGTTTTCGTATTCTAGTAACACTTGGACCAATCTGTCACCTCAGGTCAATCATTCGCTTACGCGGGTAGGCAATTTGGTTTTCTTTGATATCTATTCAATTTAAGTTTTTAAATAGCATTTTATTTACGTTTGAAGAATCACCTTCAAACGTTAATAAAATGTTAAAAATTAAATAAATACTTAAAAGAAAAAAATGTATTAGACGTCTTGTTTTAGTAACAAGACGTCTAATACAAATACTACTCGTATACCGACGACAGTCTATTGATACAATATTAAAATAGCAGAATTGACGCCCTGCTAGCGACATAATACCTCCACTTCATATCTTGTTATCCAGAAAGTTTTGCCGTTTCTGATGCGAGATGCTTCTTCTGCAGGAAAGCGCAAAGCTATTTAACTCCCTGTCTAATCCTATGGACACTTATTTTCCTTATTAACATTAAATTGAGTTTTTGAAAACAATTTTTTCAGACTTCGTAATAAATCGAAGTTTAGCCGCATCGTAGTAGACTTGAAGCCGCCAACTTATTTTAGGAAAAAGGCTCGCTGGAAGAACATTAGAGTTGACTAAATACTTATTAGTCCGTGTGGTGACTAAGAATACAGAGTGTCACCACCCCTAATCATCCCGTGGGTGTCGTAAGAGGCGACTAAGGAAGCAAACTACGCAGGGCAACAGCACTGCAGAGAGAAGGAAAACTTGAAACAAACCCTATACCGACCCGTTAGGCCAGCTTGGTATAGTAGGCCAAAACCTCCTTCCTAAGGAGAGGCCTATGTCCTGCAGTGAACTAGTAAAGGCTGTTGATGTGATGTGATGTGAAATATTTATTACGGAATAGAAAATGTTTTATAGAAGTATGTATTTGACTTTACACACGCGAAAACACACTAGGTTACTTCAAAACCTGTTTAAAAGAGCCTTTTATTCCTTTTTTCGTTGGCAAAACTGGCAAACGAGCAGACATGAGGTACACTTATGGTAAAGGACTACCGCCACCCAGGGTCCCCCCTCCCCCCAAAACATGTGGAGGGGAGGGGTTGGGGTCCGGTTATCTCACTGGATACTGAGGGCTTAGTGTAAGTTTATTTCACATCGACTCGTTATCGACGGCGATCGACTTGTACTTACCGCTTTTGGCGTTGCCGATTGGTGGAGATTTCAGTGAGGGCCAATCATGACGCCGAAGAGGTCACCGTGTCGATCGAGTACAAGTCTCTCTGGTCACTGAAATAAAACAGTACATTTAAATCGCTCGAAATTCGACGCCGCCTCAAGTGGGTGGGTATTTTCTGTAAAAAATTGTACTCGTATAATGAATTCTCTTTACAAATTAGCACGCCTTGGTCTAGTCTACCCTTTCGCTCACTCGCATACAGAGGTACAGGCCCTCTGAGGTACAGTCATGAATGTATGTAACATATTTTTTTTTTTTACCATATACACATAACGCCATCTAGTCCCAGACTAAGCAGAGCTTGTACTATGGGTACTAGACAACTGATATAAATACATATATACTTTTTTTTGTAAATACATACATATTATACATAGAAACACCCAGACCAAATCAAACAAACATCAAATGTTCATGCACACAAATGTTTTGACTTGAGCGGGAATCGAACCCGCGACCTTTGGAATAGCAGTCCGTTACACAAACCATCCAGTCGTCTCTTTTTATTAATATTTATATTTGTATTAATAAAATAAAATACCTAAAAAAAAAACTTGTTAAATACCTAAAATCCGTGTTAAGGTTGTTTGGAAGAGATCGCTGTGAGCGATAAGACCACCGATTGTTACGTTTACTTATTTGTAACTCATCTTTTGTTTTTTTTTTCTATTAAAGTGTATACAATAAAGATATAAATAAATAAATAATAAAAATATATGAAATATTGTTTTTAATATACTATTTGATTATAGTCTAAGCGTCCACTTGCGGACACACTCCGGTGTGAGACCCCACGCGTGTTCGGTCTGCGCTAAGTCCTTCTTGCGGAAGTCAACCCTGAACAATCACGTCAAGTTCGTCCACAGAGAGAGTCAGCTGCAATGTCCGAAGTGCCAAGAGAGGTAAGACTTTCATCATCATAACTCTCCATTCCTAGAGTAGCAACTACTCTAGATTGGTGAGGAGTTCAGTGCGGGCCAACGCCAAACGAGTTCACCGTGAAGATCGCATAGATGTGAAATAAACGAACGAGTCGAACTCGTGCGCCGAGGGTACCGAAAAATGTTGGTACTTACAAGTTTTCGCGAAAATCTAAATTTGCCCATATCTTTTTATTGTGTTCTCTCATTACCTTGATTTTTATACACCTAACAGGGACCATAGACCTCAGTATCTGGTATAAATTTCAACTTGCTAGGTCCCCGAGAAAATCGGTGGTGACACACGGAAAGACGGACAAGAAAGTGATCTTATAAGGGTTCTTTTCCTACCTTTTGAGGTACAGAACCCTAACTAGACCCTGTAACCGGATAAAGCTTCTACTACACCATTTAATGTATTTTTAACGCAATGGTTTTATCAGTCGTCCCCACCGTCGCAGGTTCGAAACCCGTTCGCAATGGACCCGCCACCTGACGAGTCATCGAGCGAACAAGGCAGATGGGGTACCGAGCTAATGAGAATGGGTAAGTCGTTGTCTTTACTTATATTACTAAGGTAGCAAATGAGTACATTGTTTATATATAATGGCGTACAGAAAGACAGAAGTAAAAATTATAACACGAGGGGTGTTTTTTTATGGCAAGTGATTACCACCGCCCGTAGTTACCAGCTTTGAACATCATCGGGTTTCACAGAAAACCGATGGTGAGCAATTTTTTCGTCCCTATTTCATCTCCCTTCCCTAAAATCTGGGTAGGGGGGGTCACTAATAGTCCGTAAATGCACTTGTGACTGTTGTCACTGTCACTTGTCAAAATCTGACGGCCTAGTGCACTGCCTAGGTGGTGCAGTGGTAGCGTTTGCGACTGCCATGGTGAGGTCTCGGGTTCGCTTCCCGGGTCGCACTAAATGTTTGTATGATCTGCAAATATTTGTTTCGTAGTTTGAGTGTTTTCTATGTACAATGTGTAGGTATTTACAAATAAAAAAGTATATAAGTATTGTATCAGTCAATCTAGCTTTCATAGTACAAGCTCTGCTTAGCTTGAAACTAGATAGTTATAATATTTCTGACATCTGACACACAACGCCATTTAATTTCAGATGGCGTTGTGTGTCAGATGTCTAAAATCTTATATATAAAATTCTCGTGTCACAATGTTAGTTACCATACTCCTCCGAAACGGTTCGACCGATTTTTATGAAATTTTATGTGCACATCGAGTAGGTCTGAGAATCGGCCAACATCTATTTTTCATACCCCTTATGAGAAGGTCGACCCACCCCTAATTTTTTTTTTCAATATTACCTAGAAATAATGTATATGGCAAAACAACGTTTGCCGGATCAGCTAGTATTATTATATTATTAAGTTTATTTTAAATCAACTCGCTCTCGACAGCGAAAACGTTTAGCGTTGCGATTGGCCCGCACTGAAATCTTCGCCAATCGTAGCGCCGCACGCGGTTACCGTGACGATCGAGTAGATGTGTAATAAACTCGCACTTGGGCCTCAGGGAACCCGTCTGCGTCTGCGCACATACCATAAAAAAAAATTTTTTCCTTAGATAACCCAATTCTTGACAAAATCTTGGTTTTGTAACATCAAGCTATGACATTGAGCAGCAAGGCAGTGACCCTTAACGCTGAAAATAATACAGAGATCAGTTACTTATGTCAATAAAGTGAACCGCAAAATACAGGCAGTGTTGTATTAGTTATTTGCGAGTTGCGATTTAGCAATCAAATAGGGAGGTTCCAATAACAGTAAGCCTATTGTGAAGCGTGACCCACGTTGATTTGGATACGGCCATGTTCCGGGTCGAAAGGCAAAAAGTGTTAGGTTGATTTTTCAATGTTTACATAAACAGCCATTAATAGTTCACCGTTGGACATAGGCCTCTCCTTAGAAAGGAGGTTTTGGAGGTTATACCACGCTGTATGTGTATAGGGTTTGTGTCAAGATTTCCTTCTCTTTGCAGTGCTGTTGTCTTGCCTGGTTTGCTGCCTTAGCTCTTACGACACCTACGGGGTGAATAGGGGTTGTGACACTCCTTATTCATAATCCGTCACCACACGGGTGGCAATTTTAAATATTAGTTAAATGAATATTGTATTTTACCGTCTACAAAAAGGAGGAGGTTCTCCATTCAGCTAAATATCGATGCTTATTTAGAAAATTCTATTTTTACTACTATACCCTTTAGTACCATTCAGATTTAAAGAAAAAAATTCACCACAATTTTCAACAATGAAAATGAAGGAATAAAGTAATCTGACTTAAAGGTCCACAGATTAATGGTAAACCATGGAATTAAAAACTTATCACCCTTAATATGCCCCTTTAGGCCTCCCCGTATTATTTCAGAATATGTGATGAAGGATTAGACTTGTTGTAACCTCACTCATTCGGTGAAATATAAATTGTATGAGGTCGTGTTGTCACTCCGGTCGAACCAGCCTATTTGTGCCGAAGCATGGCTCTCTCACGTGTAACCTTTAAGGAAACAGCGCACTACCGCCTTAAATTTTAGCAACGCACTTGTGACTCTAGTCTTGCATATGTGTGCACTTGTGACTGTAGTCTTGCTTGTGTACGCACTTGTGACTGTAGTCTTGCATGTTTACGCACTTGTGACTGTAGTCTTGCATGTGTACGCACTTGTGACTGTAGTCTTGCATGTGTACGCACTTGTGACTCTTGTGACTAGTCTTGCATGTGTATATGGGCAGTAGTCTAGTATTCGACCTACCATCTGAAGGCAAACTCCATTACCGCGCGCACTTATTAGTTAAATGAACCTTTCTTTCCATCTCTGATTAAACATCCTGTAGCGACTCCCACATACAAAGAAACAGAAACATAATACAGCGCCATCTAACGAAGACACACCGAACTACGAAGTAATTCCTGAATGAGAATTGCTAATCCTGTATCGCGATATGAAGAATTCTATCGCCCATTAGCTTATATACAACTTCCCAACATCAAACGTTGGGCCCTTTTGGGCCCGTTGGGTAGGAGGATCCTTCCTTTGTGTTGGAGGGACGTGATACCCGTTCCGCCACAATCTCTCCCAGAGACAGGAAAGCGAGAAAAAAGATGTTACATAAAAAATATATTTTCGAAAAGTCTGAAGTGCCACCTGGCAATTAATATCATTTCATTTCAACATCATCTGACGGACCTGTTGGTCTAGTGGTTAGTGACCCTGACTACTAAGCCGGAGGTCGTAGGTTCGCTTTCCACCGAGGACAAATATCGTGTAATGAGCACGATCATTTGTTCTGTGTCTGAATGTAATGTAAGTATTTGGAAATAAGTATGTTGATCAGCAGATTGGTCACCATCATACAGGTTCTGCTGGTTTGAGTCCAGACTGCCGCGTGGGAGATGTTTAATTAAAATTATTTTAATTATTTCTATCCATATTTAAAAATAAAATAAGTTAAACATTTAATTGTAATTTCCCTTTATACACTTGTTTTCAAACGCGAATAACTGCAAAACACTTCTCATGGAAGCTGTTTGCGGTAAATTATTTATATTTATTCGTATTCCAGGCGCAGGCGGACTGAAATAGGTCGCGAAGCCACTTTTATATATATATTTTTAAATTTATAATTGTACATCTGCATTTAGAAGTGTCTTCAACATACAAGATATCTGAAATAGTCAACTAAGTAATATAACCCTTTCTTAAAAAAAGTTGAACCGACTTTAAACAGTACTTACAAAGAGCACTAAAAACCTAGCAGCAATCGCGGTTTATTTGCTGTTATTTATTGAAGAGTTCCGTTGTCTGTCTCCAAAATTTATCATCAGATCTATATGAAATTTAAATGGGACCATTTTGGAATAAACCCCTTTCGAACAACTAAGGAATTTTGAAAACCCATCTATTTATGATGGAGTCATATCCGAACATACAATATAAAAAAATACATAAACATCTGAATTGATAACCTCCTTTTTTGAAGTCGGTTAAAAATGCTTTCTCCTCGGCATCATTACTGAAAAAAAGTTTGTATTAAAGATTCGAAAAAAAAAAACTAATGCCAGCAACGAATATAGATTCCGTAGGTAGATTCCAAAGTCCACAAGAGGAAAATCGCATCTGGTCTGCTATTGGTACTGCTAGAAGCTCTACAAATATGCTGATAATATATCCTGGTATAATTATAATAGTTCTTGTAATATACTGGACATAGGCTTCTGCCAATTTGCAGCATAGTACACGGTCTCAGCCACCTTCTTTAAAGCATAGCTTGTTCCATACCATAACACCTTGGGCTATGTTTAATTTATGGACCAGCCCTACTATCTGTGTCCACGTCTCGGCACCTTATGATCTACGAACAACCAGGTTCTAGTGAACATCGTCAGTCTTATCTTAGTCGATTGGTCGGGTATAGGATTATGCCTCTCCTTAGAAAGGAGGTTTTGACCTACTATACCACGCTGGCCAGTGAACGTCATAGTTAAGAAGAGATTTAAAACTCTTCTCTCGTAGACTATGTATGATGGTAGTACAAAGCTGAAAATAAGTTCCATCATCAATGACCATTCGTCTGTTATGACATTGGCCTGATTTATAATTACGATAATAAAATAATGTGCATTTATATAAGTATTATGCCAGATAGATCGATTTTATAGTCCAAAATCTAAGTGGCGTGCAATAGGAGAGGCCTATGTCCAGCAGTGGACTGCGACAGGCTGATGATGATGATATAAGTATTGCTAGCACTAACTGCATTATAATCAATTACTTTTGTTATTTAAATTTCATCGAAATCTAATGCTGTTTGCTGTATAAATATTTCATGATTCTATAATAAAAATTGCATACCAAAAGTACCCATAAAATCGTCCATCTAATAGTGACAGAATAATTAGTCTTCACAATAATTTTAATTATGAATTCTTAATTAGCAGTTAGCAAATTAATTGCAGTTGTGAAATTTCGTGATATGTTCACAAAATTTCACGACTACAATTCTTTTGTTTTTTACTTTTTGTACCACATTCACACAACGCCATCTAGTCCCAAACTAAGCAGAGCTTGTACTATTGGTACTAGACAACTGATATAAATACATTATATACTTTTTTTTTGTACACCCAGACCAAATCAAATATTAAATGTTCATGCACACAAATGCTCGACTTGAAATCTAACCCGCGACCTTTGGCATCATCATCACATCATCACATCAACAGCCTATACTAGTCCACTGCTGGACATAGGCCTCTCCTTAGAAAGGAGGTTCTGGCCTACTATACCACGCTGGCCAGACGGGTTGGTATAGGGTTGGTTTCAAGTTTTCCTTCTCTTTGCAGTGCTGTTGTCCTGCTTAGTTTGCTCCCTTAGTCGGCTCTTACGACACCCACGGGATGAATTGGGGTGGTGACAATTTGTATTCTTAATCCGTCTTTGGAATAGCAGTCCGTTACTCAAACCACTACGCCATTCGGTCGTCATTAATTTGCTAACTGCTAACACTACACAGA